AAAGAGACTTAGATCAGCTGGAGAACCTGATTGATTTTCATTTTGTTAGCATGAACATTCACACATACTTATTTACATGGCTACATTTCATCAGGCACATTCTTAGTTTCAAGATCTATCAGATTTTGGGTCTGTACATTTGCTTAATTCCATAGCTCAACCAATACAACTATTCAAAGCATTAAATTGTTAAGAACAATTTGGCTTATACCATTAATCTATTAATACATTGGTTTCTCTCTCAAAAAAGTGGTGTAAGACATTCATTATATTACTCTTCTACCCTAGTGACTATTTCCATCTGATATTAGAAGCATCTGAAGACAGGGTTGTCCTCACACCACAGAATAAAGTACACACCAGTCAAACACTTGCCTGCTTCTGATGCAACAGGGATACCATACTTTCATGCTGACAAGAAAGCACTGTGGTGATCCTTAGGCTCATGGATCCTTGGGAAACTAATTTCTTCTGAGACTAGTCAGAAGAAACTGAGATCAAACAGTGATTTCATATCCTGATTTGTTTTAACCACAATTAGAACAAGCTACAGTCTTCCCCTAGCAGGAATGTAGTGGTGAATGGTGGTTAATTCAAAAGCAAATACTTCCAAACTCCATTTGCACAGATAGGAGGAGGAGAACACAGACCTGAGATTTGCCACAGACCTGTCTCATTGCAGGAAACTAGTTTTCCATTGTGTCTGAATCAGGCCACCATGTGATCCAACTGCACACCCAGGGCATTCTGCAATTTGCAGGAAATTGCTGGGGTGTATTTTCTGGACTACTTGCCACTTATTTCCCAGAATCCGGGGTGTGGTACATACCTTTTGGCCTTGGTGTGAGATTGTCGGGATATGTCCTTCCTTCCTGTCTGGTTTAGTAACTGCTGAACTTTCATTCATCTAGTCCTTTTGATCCTGACCATGCTGTTGACCCCAGTTGGACCTTGGGCAATTTCTCTTAGCTGCATCTATTCCTTATTTAGTCTATCGTTGCAGAGTCCTCCCAGCCCTTCTGGCAAGAGATTTAAGACTGAAGCATTTTTCTTACTCATTTGAAAGGATGAGGTTAAAATGTAGAGATCTATTAAGGAGGGGTACCTGGTCTAAATATTGTGTAATCCAAAGTATAAGGAAGTTACAGGTAAGTACAACGTACATGAAAATGGATTTGAGGGAGATGTGTCACTTCTTTCTTGAAAAATATGGAAGTCTGCACTTTTCCTTTACTACCAGATTGGGGCTTAGAATCCACAGTTAATGAGGGGTTGCTCATGGGGAAGATTTCAGACTGGGTTGGAGTGACTGAGAAAGTAGCATGTATTTAACTAGATACACCCACAGAGAAATGGGAAGTGAGAATAAATATGGCTTGGCGATTGCTGCCCCCAGATACACCTGACAGCTAGCTGGGACTTCAGGCTTTTTTTCCCACCTCTGCAAAGGGCTGCCACTGAAACGAAGCAGGGTGGAGAACATCCAAGGAGAACTAATTTGTTTAAATGTTTTGGAAAACCTACACCTGCTGCATTTATCTAGCTGCTACCAGGCAGACATTTGGGTTTCTTGGAGGGAGGGAGGGAGATTTGGATGTGCCCGACCTTCGGACAACTCATTAATTTTGCCAAGGCTCCTTGGAGAAGATGCTCCATGTGAGAAGCTTTCAACAATAATCCAAGTGAATTTAGTCTGATCTTTTTGTCAGGAAGACTGATCATTCTCATTGCAAACACTGATCATGCTTCCTCTTGAGCTGTATTTATATATGCCACTGGAGGTGAGCGCATGACAACTGGAATTTGCATTCCCAATCCTTGCCCTTTGGTTGTCTCCTTTGCAAAGTAAAACAAGAACCTGCTATTCCCAATGCCACCAAGATACTATATAATGTGGAAGCCTTTCTTCAAGTTGATCAGAGAACACCTCCAGGGGTCATTGGCCAGGTGTCCCATGGTAATAATGGAAGACTGGAGTGGGGTGCTGACCTGCTCATTCTGAGCTGCCCTCTCCGTTTTCTGCTTAGAGGTCACTAAAGCCTGCTTCACACAGGACAATGTTCATGCACAGACAGGACCGCTAAAGTACACAAGTACATCTTCTGGGGAGCTCTATAGTAGAGCTGTAGTAACTCCTAAGCAGAGCAGTTGAATAAAGGAACCTGTGTCACCACCATGTATCGAACCCAGTTGACTGACACCAATGAGAAATGGGTTCTTTTGGTGATGTGATCTGTTGCCTTTTGTTTCATAGGACCAGATGATCTGTCATGCACTTATGCTGGATTTAAAGTCTTTCCTCCGTTAAACTGCAACTAATAGAAATGAACTGATAGCAGGACTGGTATTTTACACTATGCTACCTCTTCCCTCACCTCTAGTGTCAACAAAGAACACATTATTATTATTTCTACAGTGCTGCAGATGCTGTTGGGATCTTTATTGGTGGCAGGCACACAGAAAGCAAAACGGTGTACCTTACTGAAATCGCTCTTCCTAGTGTTGACATTTCTGCTTTGGCATGATGGCAATACAGCCACCTGCTCTGATCCTGTAGTCCAGCTAGATGGGAAATGATTAAAATGGGGATGGAACTCATTCCCTGGTTTATGGAGCCCTGATGCTCTGATTCAGAGCTTCAAGCACCGCCCCCCGCCCCCCCCCAGCCCATGTGTGTGGACAGTGAAAGCAACGGAAGGCTAAGAGAGTGGCTGCCCCTGTAGTCTTCTTCATATATCTTTAAATTCTTCATTTTCATAGTGATCTTAATTTCTTCTCTTGGGATGTTGAGTTCTTTCAAACAAACTTCTACAGCAATGCATACTTCACACAATTTTAACACCTTAGAACAAAATCACAAAGTAACGGATTCTGACTTTGATGCTTACTGACTGAGAGACCATGCCTTCTTCCTGTCGTTACATCTGGAAGCCCAATTAAAGGGTTTCAAATAGTTTGATCCTTTGTGAACCTTAAAGGAGAGGCAGTGTGATCTCGCAGCTAAAGCTCTTTATACTCCTGACAGATCCATCTGGACAGCTGCTGCACAGCTTTCTTTCTACAGTAAACTAACTTTCACCCTGCAGACTTTGAGAAGATCATCTGATGGAAAGCTGGGGATAAGGCCAGGCCATGCTCAACTATGCTCAACCATCACTGGACAAAGAAAGGCATTCTTCCCTCACGTACATCCTCTGAGCATACGGTGGCCAACTGGTTATTCTTAGCAGTCTGAGGAAGCTGTCTTTATTGTAGACATGGAGACAAACCAACACGGAGAGGTAAAGCAAGATCACACATGCAATCGGAGAATAGTACTGAAGAAATCTTGCCACAATGCCAAGCACAAGCACCCTGTCCTCAGCCGCCTTCTCCTTGCCAAATACATCAGGTAGCTCATCTAAGTCATTGCTCAAAAGTTCAATCACAGTTACAGCACGAGATCTGCTCCCTCCCTTTGCAAGAGCTGCACTGTCCCTGCGGCTGTATTATTATTATTAGAATATTTCTATGCCGCCCCTTGCTGAAGCTGAAGTATAATGCACCTAGGATTTAAAGTCTGCATTTATAACCATCAGGATAGCCTGGTACATGCTACAGAAAACACATGCTAAAAAGGCCCACAAATCCCCACTCTTCAATGTTGAAAGGAAGGTGTGAATTCCAAAGACCCTTGGATCATTGCCTAATCCAGAGCATGGGGTTCTCGCCACTAGACACAAGACTTTCCTCTTTATTTTTTCCTGATGGTCAACAGCACAGTCTATATAGCTTAAAGAAATCCTATTGAGTTCAAAGGGCCTTGTTTGCAAGTAAGCATGCACACAATTGCAGCATAAAATGCTCTTGGTTGTTCCCTACACCTCCTACCCTAACAGTGGATTCTTGGAAAATCATGCGTCTGCCACCAAGTTTGCTACCATGCCCTGAAGCCTTTGTGGCAGGAAGTCTGACTGTGCGCACTGGCTGCCACATCAATCAAACAGTGAGTTCATGGCATGTTGAGCAGGGGCAGGAAGAGGAGTAACTTCACAGTAAGAGTCCAGGCCTCCAACACTTAGTTCTTGACTTAATCTAACCTGGGCTAATAACCAAAGGCAAAAGCAGAGTTTGGGCAGTGAGACGCTGAGCAGATATGTATGACTAAAGAAGGGGTGAAAGGGAGGCCTTACAGAGGGAAGAGAGCTTCCTTAATAGCAAACTCCCTGGCATTTTTCACACTGTACTGCTCTTTTGGCAAATACTGGCCACCTGTTGCCCAGGTGCAGTGAGCAGAAGACAGCGGCTAATCCCTGGCTTTCCTTTGGGACCTAACAGAGCTGCGGTTGGTACCGGCAGCAGCTCCTTAGCCTTTGGCACAGTTCTTACCAACTCTACATGTGGCCAAAAGAAAAAAAAACCAGCACCTTTCTGTCCCTCTCTAGTAATGCTTGGTCCACCTGGAGAATTACCCCACTCTTCAGTTTAAGCTTGTTTGGGGCTGCCCAAAAAGTCAGCACCTGAAGCTATACTTCCCTGGAGTGGCTTCCTCTCTGCCTAAGAGGAAATGTCAGAGTCTGCTGCCAGTCAGCTCCTTCTCTTTGCAAGTGAACTTGAAAGAGAAAATGGCAAGCACAAGCTTAGCTGATCCACCCTCCTTCTCTCAGGTTGATGAAAACTTGGGGAGATCCCCAAAGGCAGCGCTGACCCTCTCCCTGCTTTCCTTCCTTTAATGCGCTTTCTGCTCAGGAGAAAGTTGAGCTGGGCTTTTGAGGAGTCAGAATCCCTTACAGCGAGGCACCCTTGGCTCCTTTGTCATGCAGAGAGCCAGACTGCAAGAACTGTTAGAGGACGAGACTTTGCAGAGTCCACGCTTCTCCCTAGCCCTGTCAGTCCAGCAGTCACGACTGTTCCAGCCAACCCACTGAGCAAGGACTCCGCTCTCCTGCCCCAGTGGACAGCCATGGCAGGAGCACAGGCACGACAACGCTACTGATGGCAGCCCTTGATGAGAGGTCAGGGGTCGGGGATGCTTGGAAAACGTGAGCGCCAATGAGAATTCAGACATTCGAAAAACCTGCAGTGAGACCTATTTATATCTCTAAGGCTACGCCACCCTTCATGTAAGAACCCGTTGGTGAGGCCATGGCCAAAAGCCCACTGGGAAATCACTGGCGGTGGGTTAGCATGAGAGGAGCCCGAAAAGCAAAATGGCCCCCACACACAGAAGGGATCACCTCCAATCCAAAAGAACAAAATAAATAAAGAGTCTGAATAATTATAATAATCATCATCATAATCCACAACCACGGCTAGAGGAGAAAAGAAACGGTCAGGCCGGGAGCTCCAGAAGAGCATCCTCTGCGAAAACAAACGGTAACACAGGCCACAGACTTCCAAGCGCAAACACGACCACTGGAGAAGGCCCATGCTTTGGCAGAGAATGCAAATACTGTAAAAGTTTTTTGTGGGTTTTTTTTTTTTTGTTTTGATATATATATATTTTTTTCACCTAACAAACTAACACCGTTCAACACTGGGGTCAACACAGGGAGGTGGAGCCTTTTTTGTTTGAAGTTGAGACATTTTCATTGCAACACCTGGTCACCTGAACAGCCGGATGGACAGACACAAAGGAAGGAGTTGGTGGGGGCGGGAGGTGCAGTGTGGCCACGCTGTGAGCTGGATGGCTGGATTTGCTGATTTTTTTGTTTTGTTTTGTTTCTTTTCTTTTTTTTACAATTGAGTCTTGTTGGGTATATTCCCTTGTGTGTGTGTGTTTCCTTTTTTCTTTTTTTTTCCCTTTTTTTGCAAACACAGGCACTGGAAATGAAACGGGGGAGGATGGGGAAAGGGGGACACAAGCATGCGGGCACGTGCTTGTCACTGCTGCTCCCAGCTAGCGGCTCAGCTCAAATCTCTATCTCCTTCGGGATGAAACCAGAACAGCCGGCATTAGTTCTGAAAGACACAAGCAGGGAGGGAAAGATACGGTGATGGATCACCCGAGACACCCAGCAGGCTCACTTGCCCTTTTCCTGTTGGCCAACACCGGGAGGAAAGCATGCCGCCTGTCAAATTGCTTACTCTCATTTTCACACTGCACACAAGCAAATGCATTCAAGTGCACAGAGGTTCAGCAGGCTCTGCTTGTTAGACCCCCCCCCCCTTCCCATCTCCTCCCATGGACGGAATGCTGGAATGCTGTTTTACTTCACAAGTTTGATCTCAGCATCACTAAGCTGCCACCTGCTCCTCAACCTTGTCAGGCTGGTGGGTGCATTTCATGCAGAACGTCACAGGTGCTCTCACAAAATGGTTGCTGTGGGAGTCCATAAAATGACTGTCATGATTGGTATGACCAGTCCCAATACACACATTTCCCAGAAAGTGAAGTGATGATAAGAGAAAAAGCAACTTGCCCAAGAATCTTAAGTATAAAGCAAAGGCCAGATCTGAGGTTAAAATTACAGAACCACCCTTACGAATCCAAATAAAGATGGGACCGAAGGGCAGCGCTTCGCTTCGCCCACCTTCTAGTTTAAAATGTGCATTAAGAAACGAAAGAGCTTGGTGGAGGCCAAGAGAAGTGCCCTCTGGGAGCTGCCCATCAGTTATGCATCCTGTTCTCCTTTCTTGAGGAGGGTGCTGTACTGTACTGGCCGGCCGCCCCCTGTGAAAATTACATACACTTCCCTCCCTGGAGCACCATTAGAAAGAAAGAAAAAGAAAAAAAAAGAGCACCACACAAATGTTTGAGCGGTTCTTGGTTGACGAATGAACTCTGAAAAGTTATTGAAAAGCAAAACGAGAGTGAACAGCCTGCTAGAAACATGGGGCAAGGGCAACAACCTGCAGTCAGCCCAGATGGCTCTTGGCGGTGCAAGAGTGCTGTGAAAACCCTGCACCCACTCCTGAATCTGCCTGCCAGTTCTCGGCCACACTCAATTCAACACATCCCCTTCCACACAGACTTCCCTTCCCTTTTTCCCATGTGAGGTGGCTTTGCAAGAGGCCCATTTTGGGCCTAACCTTACCTTCACTGGAGTGGTGCCACTGGTGCTCCCGAGCAATGGAAGTGGACATTCTGCCACTTGCCATCACGACGGTGCCAGACCCGGGTCTCTTCCGACTGGCAAGTGCGGGGACGGCCCTGCCCGTCGATGTACTGCGTCAGGCGGATGTAGGCGATGCAAGCCGCATCTTCCCCGATGACGTGCACATGAGGGTTCAGGATGGTTGTGTGAATGGGCTTGCTGTTCTTCGTTAACACTGAAAAGGCAAAGGCAGCGAACTGGAGTCAGTTTGTAGGGTGGCAGATGTTGCAAGCAAGGAGGGAGCCAGCGGAGTGGCACAGAGGTGATGCAGTGGAAAGGAATGCAGAGAACTGTCCTGTAACAGGTAAGGCTAGTTGTTGGTCAGAGGGCTCTGCATGCAGCAGGGGTGGGGAGTGAGAACATTCTGCACCAGATGAGGCATGGGAAAGGGGAGTTACTTCTATCTCCTTTTTCTTTTAGAGCAGGAACTGTCAGGCACTGCTTGTTGATTTGGGGCTCACTGAGGGCCCATGCCTTTCGCCACTGCCACTTGCTTGTTCGCCTATCCCTCCTCTGGCCCAGACCACCAGAGGGGGCAGGAGGAGGAGCTCTGCCTGCCAGACAAGTGAACGACAGCCCTTACAAGAAAGAGGATGAAGGGCAAGAGCAGCTAGTGGCAAGGCTGGCGTGAGAGTAGATTCCTCACACAGCCCATGGAAGGTGCCCTGCCTAAAAACCTGGAGGTGGCATTTGCTGGCAAGGTACTTGACTGGAGATCCATGGTCAGGTCAGGGAGAAAAGAAGGTAGGCAAACAGATTTGGGCTCAATGAGTTAAGTGTTAGAAGACAAGCCACCTTTTCCTCTTTCATGTTCAGTGTCCAACTGGTTTAGACTAGCAGAAGTTAGGTAAAGGCAGAAGATTTTCTAAAAATGGAGGCATCTCCACTATGGGATGCAATGCTCAGGGAGGTAGGTGCGATCTCCTTCCTCTGTGGTTTTCTAGAGGCGGCATGTGTCTGTTCCAGCTGCTACCTATTGCGTTGTCACCTCACCAACAGAGTTTTCCAGCCTCCCAAGAAGAAAGAAGCTAGCGATGCATCTTCTACTTCATTCACTCTACAACCTTGTGCTTTTGGGAGGCTTTGGACTTCAACTCCCAGTCCTAAGCAGCAATGCCAGTAGTTAGGAGGGCTGTGAGCTGGAATCTGAATTGTCTGGCTCATACCAGGCTGAGGAAGGAGGCTGCAGTGTGTTGTCCACCCTCCTCCCCAGCCTGTTATTGTCTGTTCCTCCCCTGCCAGGCTTCAGGAGCGCCAAACTGTAAGTGAAGGGTGGGCTGGATGCCTCAACCTTGGTGGGAAGAATTGCCTTGGCTCCCAGTTCAGCACAAGGCTTTAGATGGAAACGAGACCCACCCAGTGCTTGGAACTCAGAATACTGCCTTGACCCATGTCTGACCAGGAGTTCACCTTGCCCAATATTGCCCAGATCACTGATAGCCCATTGCTTTTAACTGGAAATGCCACAGTTTGAACTGGGGGCCTTCTACCTGACCTGAAAAGCATGTGCATTCCTAAATTGGTGGCAGTCCTCTGTTCCTGCAGACTTATGCAACCTGGAACAACCACTGGCCTCTAAAAGGACCAAACTGGGTATCTTGTGGTTTGTGCTAAAGCAGCCACACTGGGGGAGGCACATTTGGATTTAGGCAAAAGCACTGAAGGAGGGACGTGCTCTGAATCATATCTCCCATTTACCAGTCCAAAATAGAGTGCTGAGATGAAAGATTACTAAGAAGGACTGGCCGAAACCTTCATGTTACACAAGTGCTTTATGATCCGAACTGGCTTCCAAGCCATATCTAGGCCTAATACAAAGCACTGGTAGGAAAGACTTGGAGCCACGTTACCTGAAGAATCGTCTTCTATACCTGCTTGGACCCTGAAATCATCCTCAGCAGCCCTTCTCCAGGTGCCCTTGATGTGTGGTTACTGAAGAGAGAGGCTTTTCTTTGGTGGTACCCCAACTGGGCAATAACTCCCCAGTGAAACTTGCTTGGCACGTGTTTGGACTTGTTTCTAGAAAGATGAAGCACTGGACAAATATCTTTTTGATACTTCCAGGCTTTTAGAATTTCACACTGCCACTAACTTTTACTCTGGCTCTACTCTGGGTATATACTGCTTTAAACATAAAGATACTACATTATGATTGCATTTTATGGTTTAAACATTTTTGCGAGCCACCCAGAGAGCTTTAGCCATTGGATAATACATACATGTAATAAATAAACTCAATGCGAAGTCTCCACTCACCCTCAAACTATGATAAGCTGCTGCAAGGAAAAATGACAGGCACAACGTTCATTACAGCAGCTTCAGGGAAAGCATAATGTAATTCTAGGCAACCACACAGAAAAAAGGCAACCCCCTACTAGCCAGCCAGTCCTTGCCTCCCACGCTCTAAACTGAAAGAGAAGATATCCCATTGGAAGACTTGGACAACCTGACTGGTTCTGGCCCAAACACCAGCCTGTGTGCGCTGATGCTGATTGTGGGGGGACGTTCCCACGCTGGAATGCTTTCCATCGTCGGAAGGTTACCACGACAGCCAGCATTTCCAAGGGATATTAATATACTAAATAAAATGTTAGCAATGTTAGTTCTGTGCACGTGTATATGCATGCATGCTGTTTTCTGCATGCAGGAAGTTCCTGAGAGAAGGGAGCCTTCAAACACTGAGTTTGTGGCACGACACCGGAAGCAAAATGATGCTTAACACTTTTTCCAAAGGGAATGTTAATTTTATTGGCTAAAATCTGTCACTATTAAGTCCACAGACTTCATCTGAGCTGGAGGGCCTCTCAAAGGAGGCACCAGCAATTGCAAGGATATGAATTACCATCAATATTTCTTCCAAGAGCAAGGACCTGGAAATATTTTAAGGAGACGTATCAGATGTTACTCCTGAATTGGGAGAGGGGCCTGCTGGAAGAGACTTCTGTAAGTGGATGAGAAGCTCATCCCATCTTACATACAACAAGATGTACTCACAGTTTTCAAAGTAAAATCTGTGGAAGTCCATCCCTTCGACAAGGTTGCCCAAGGCTTCAGGTTCAAATGAAGTTAAGCCTGGATCACAGATTTTTCTAAACAGCCAACAAAGAGACAGGTGATGTAAGGTAATTTCCCTGCAGGAAGAGATGAAGCTGTCCTCCATGGACTGTACAGTACCTGCCTTTCATTGTTTTCCTAAGGATGCCTCATAGGCCTGCTTAGAAAAGACTTGCCTCCTCCTCTGTGCAGGCTCAGGGAACCTGAGCCATTGTTCTTCATATTTATTCAGGGAGAATTTAATCTATCCCTCTGAACCACGAACTGATAAATACAATCCACCAAACTGTTGTGCTACATTATTTCAAGAACCAGATTAAAGCTACAATCCTATGCAGGTTTAGCTAGGATTATGGTCCACTGAATTCAGCAAGACTGTTCTGAGAAGACATACACAGGATGTATTGTAAGGATGTACTTCTCTGTAAGTGTGAAAATGGTACAGTGGATTTACTATTTACCAAGAGCTCTGGAAGATGAGATTTAAATTTAACCCCTTAGAAATAATATTCAAGTTGGGTCTGCTGAAATCTGAACCCTGATGAGTTTTGAGCTGAGACAAATTGGATTTACCAGAAATTGCAGAAAGGAGTCCAAAATCCAATTAGAATTAGACAAAGGCCCATATGAAGCATCAACTGAGGACTTATCCCTGTATAGAATAAGACAAATCAGACATACCAGCCCACAGAATGGCAGGATGGGGCAACCATGAGGGAAGCTAAAATTGCTGGCTGGATTTAAAATTTCATAAACCAGATTTTTGGGTTGGGGAGGGAGGAGGATTGCCCATGAAAATAAATTCTTAGAATACTGCTGGTATCCATTCATTCAGCTAAAGGATAATACATTTGGATGGTAAAGCCTAAATAATTACTAACAGCCCTCAAGACAAGGTTGTTGGAACTTCTTGCAGACTGAGGAATGAATTGCATTCTGGAGAAGCTCTTGGAGACCCACCTTCTAATGGTGAAGGGGCAAAAGGTATGAAACCAAAAACTCCAGCTAATTTTAGCTTAAAGCTCCTACTACCATTAGGAAAGGCAGCTTAAGCTTTTGGAAGGGGTAAGCCACATACAAAAACCAGGAAACCATGAAATGATTGATGTCAGAGAAAAGGGATAGCAGCCAGCTGGATAACCCCGGAGGCCAAAACCGGGACCTCAGGCAGTCTGGGTTGCCTCTCCCTGGGCCTGAGCTTCTGCATCTCTGCCTCAGAGGAACTTGCTTCAGAGCAAAGGAAAAATACTCAAGTATTTTGCCTATGGTCATTGCATAATTATCATTTTTCTTAAAGCAGCTACAGTAAGAAAGTTGCACAGGAGAGCATCTTCTCAGAAGCCAGAGTGGCCTTTGCATGAAAAGGACCGAGCACTTCAAGAAGTGCTCCAGTTTTATGGTTGGTGCCGAGAAAGAAAAAACTTCTTCTTTGTACCTGCTTCTGTGTAATTCAGGAATTAGCTGCTCTACGAACTCTCTAAATGGATTTAAAGCAGCCTTCCATGACCTGGTGCCCTCCTGGTGTTTTGGATTGCAACACCTATCAGCCCCCAGCCAGTGGTCTGAAATTCTGGGCACTGCAGTCCAAAACAGCTGGAGTTTGCTTCCAGATAGAGGAAGGATTATTTAAATTAAGAGTAAGCAGCATAGTGACCAGATTAGTCACTATGATGAAGGATACCCGCATAAATGTAAATACATGAAAACTGCTTCTCAGCCTATTGGTGAGCTCTCACACCCAGCCTACTCACGCATAGGCCTCGAAGTCCCCGTTGTTCACAGCTTCTATCAGCTGCTCCGTTATCTTGATGATTTCCTGCTTGCGGGCTACAAGGGGAGGCACAAGGAGAAAGCAGAGAGAGAGAGAGGGAGTAGAGAAGCCGTGAGTGCCAGCGAGGGCAGATGGCCAACACGCAGAACAACAGTTGCCTCAATGGTCCCTACATGCCCCATTCTGCTCCTAGCAGTTTATACGAACCGTTTCTCTTCAGTGAGTTCTTGCAAGGTGGACTCAGTGAGATGTAGTGACGAGAGTGTAGGTCATAAAAACCAGGGGCACTCAGGTTCAAGTCCCCACTCAGCCATGACACTCACTGGCTGAGGTTGGGCCAGTCAGTCCAGCCTAGTTTATTTTGAAGGACTGCTGTTTAAAGATTAAATTGGGAGAGCACACAATGCATGCTGCCATGAACTCCTTGGAGGAAAGGGTGGATTTTTCTTCTTCATCATCATCATCATCATACAGGTAAGCACCTTGGAGATGGAATAATTATGTACAGGGCTTCCCTAACCTGGTGACCTCTGCATGGCTTTGACTACAGGTTCTACCACCCGTACCAGCTGGAGACAAGGAGCGCTGTACTCCAGCGCATTTGGAGGTTGCCAGGCTGGGGAAGGCTGGAAGGCTGACGTGAAAATCACCAAGCACGGCCGATAAGAAATACTTACTGTGTGCAGATGCAGGTGTGCTGGCTTCCTTGTTACATATGCAGCTCCTAGACCAGCCACCCACTTTAAGAAGAGTGACTAAAGCAGCTGCTACAAACCTTTGGGAACCAGAAATTACTGGCAGCTCTCTCTGGAGTAATATCACTTGCCAGAAACACGCTCCGGCAAAGACATTCCTTTTCTGTCCTGGGGCTGCTCACAGTCCTCTTACAACAAAATGGACTGAAGATCCACTTATCTCTGAAGCCAGCACACATGGGAGATCGGGGGAGATGCTGGAATTTACAAGGCGTCCAAGTGTCCCAGTTATGGAGCAGACACTATGAATAATGCAGCCTCTCAGTGGCGGAGATGGTGTCAGCAGCCTTACCAAGGTTATCTCCCTGGAGCAGGTGCCTTTGGAAACTTCTGCCCTCACGGGGCTTAGAGAATCCACTTCATGCTTGCTGAGCTTCAGCTGCAGTCCACAACCCCTCCCCCACCAAGAGCCTGGGCTCCCACTGATAAACCGAGTACATCTTGGATTTCATCCTCACATACATTTTACAGGGGGGGCTAACACATCTGGAGATCCTCGGCAAACAAAGATTCCAACCACTTCTGGTGAACCAGTGGGTTTCATTTGATAGAAAGCACCAGATGCAGATCCAGGTGGTGCAGATTTAAGAGGAGAGAAACCGGAGTCTTGCACTGCCTCTGAAGAAAGACTAGCATCTTTTGGCCCTCCCCATCTCTCACCTAGTTAGCAACCATTCTATCAGGCTGCCTCACCTTTTCCATTCTAACTGCCTGTGATAAGGACTGTAACTTTAAGAACTGGTGCCTGAGTATGTTTCTCTCCCTTTTTTTCTTTGTGTGGCATTTCATTTTAGATATAGTTTAGATTATAAACCTAAAGGCAGAGATTATCTTACTCTTGATTATTGGTAAACTGCTTTGGGAATTTTTTAACCAAAGGACAGGATTAAAATAAAATACTGCAAATAAAATTACTATTTAAAAAAACTCAAGCCTCCCCACATGGCTTTCCAAGCTGCTTTTGAACCCATTTCCATAGCCTGATATATGCAAACAACAGGTAGCTTAACACACACAGTTCTGCATCTGAAGTGAGAACAGGATAAAAAGTAATACTTTGCCTACTGAAAGAAGATGGGTAAGGTTAACTTGAAATATTGAAATACTGTCTGCCCGCCTCTAATTTCCTTAGGTCAGGGCTTCTGAATCTGTGATAAACCCCCTGTTCTTGAGACAAGCCTGAAACTGCAAAGCCATGGACTGCTCTGCCTCAGTGGTTTTTCCATAGATGTCATTGATCACAGTGGAGATTTCTTTCTAGTAAATTTAGCTAGGATTGTGCTGTAAGCAACCCTAACCCTAACCCACCACACTCCGAGAAAAAAGATGCTGTGAACTCCCTTCTCTAAAGCTGGCCCTACGATACTTAAACATTACAACTCCCTGGGAAGCTTTTCAAACACATGATTCTTCTTTTGAACCAATGTTTTCGGCAACATTCCACTGGGCAGGTCTCGAGTTCAGACTTGCTTGCTTCGGTTCACACTGAGTTAAGAGGAGTGAGTCTCAGGACATTGTTCTCACCTAGGCTCAGTTGGTTATCTTCCTTTTTGGCTATCAAAGGCTAGTGCAGTCATTATGGAGGGACATGGAATTCCAGCCTGCAGACTGAATCTGGCTCATGAAAGGTCCCCAGTCAGAAATTAGAGATGAAGTGTTTTCCTCTCCTACTCCCCATGTTGAAAGGAAACTTTAAGCAGCCTCCATTGTCACCAGTGGAAGCTTTAAAAAGTCTAAATGCAGTGGGATGTGACAGAGTGAGAGCAAATAAGGTCTCGGCAATCGCAATGGGGCCACCTGATGGCCCTGCTACATGAGACGCCATGTTGTCCCCAGGCTGAAAAAGGTTCCCCAGCCTGGCTACAAAACTTCCACGCCTTTCGTACCAGTTTCTGGGGAGTAACACGTGGCAAAGGGCGAGTGGCTTTGTGACTTCCTGGTGTGCTTCCCCAAAGCATCTAGTTAGTCTGCGTGGGACCAGTTGGATCAGTTCCTCTACAGTTCTTAAGGCGGCAATCTTACGCACTCTTTTGTGGGAGTAATTCCCACTGAATGTCATGGGATTCATGTTCTAGTAATACTGTTGAGACTGCACTGCTGCTCCCAGTGATCTACTGGGGAAAAAACCCATCTCTGGAATCTTTAGGAATTCCCTCTTTAGGATTCACTCATCTGTGAATCCTTCAAAATGGCCTTCAAGTAATTCTCCATCGTCGTACCACTTTTTTAATTTCCCTTGTTCTGCGTCTCCCCGGCTTGCAACAAAACTAATCCAGAGATGTTTACAGACATGGGCTCTCTCTGATCAGTCCCTTCATGTATAAACATCACTAAGGTCCTTTTTTTCTCATTTGGTTCTTAATTTCATTCTCAGGCATGAACATGCCCTCAGTTAGGTCTCCTGTTCCCATTGTAAAATATTAGATTACAGACATGGCACAAATGCAGACAGCCACTTTCATCCTGGGGAGACCGTGGAAATGCTCCGGTCTGAGCCTAAATTGCAACTGAGGTCATGTTTCTAAAACTAACTGTGCATGTAAAGGAAGACAATGAGCATGCCAATGAGCAAAAGGAAGGTAGTTCCAAATTGCCAGTTTGCTGCTCTTGAACACTTATCTGTACACTATATACTTCGTATAGCATGTAGTTTAGCCTTCCAGCAGCTTTCATGGGTTGCAATTCCAGCATAAGTTGTGATTTATATTGGAAAATGAACGCAGACTTGTATCTTACCACTTATCATATTAGGTGTGCTATAGGCCAAATAGCAAATGGGTGGAGGAAGCAATTTAAACCAGGAAAACAATGCAGAGAGAAAAGGTCAACTCTTTCCCTCAGCATAGAAATACTGATCTGACCCACTCCCCACTGTATCGCTTTTATGTTTACCATTTTTAAACATTCAGGAGAATGAATCATGGGGCACTCCTAATCTCTTCTAGTTGGGGAAGGTTCCTAGTCCAAGTTCTACCCTTTCCCACTGCTTGAACAATAAAGGCCCTTAACATAACACAATTAACACAACGATTTATACAGCTGCATGCACGACAGTCTGCAAAGGAGCTAGTGCTGTACAATTCTATATGCTATGAGATGCCCCGGCCCTGCAAAAGCTCTGCAGGTAAGTTACAAAATGACATAGAGTAAATGGTGATGGGAAACATACCATACAGATTGGGAGGAAATTAGTGAACTGAGCAAACCATTTTGTTATAAGTTTAATGGGCTGCTTCCTTTTCACTGCTGCCAAGATCCTTCCTTCTATTGGCTTTCACTCCTCTGTATCCCATTCCAGGGTGCATATATACAACGATGCTTTCCCCTTCCTTATTCATACCCATCGCATCCTGCACACATCTATGCCCAGAGCCACTAATATGAATTAGAATGAACAATGCACACAGGAAAAGGCTGGAATTCTGTGCGCACTTTGCTTAGGAGTAAGCTCCATTCAACTCCTTATCTGAGAACTTATTTCAAACCAACATGCATAGGTTCTTCTTCTGTTGCATAGTTTAACATGCATAGTTAAACTATGTAATGTAAATTCATGTGATCTTAAAGTTGCACTATCACTGAAGCCTGCATCTTGCCGTATATTTCTCCTGGTGGGCAAACCAGCCTCCCAAGGGAAAAAACAAATGCCTTTTCTTTAACTTTCCACTCGTTGCCAGTTCTTACCTGAGAGCTTGCTGGCCATCCCTGCTTCCCCGCTGTTCTTTCTATGCCCTGCTCTAGCGCTATTTCTCTGGCATCGGAGCTCCCGTTTGCCAGTGGCTCCCTCCAGCTGCAAAAGGCCAAGCTGTTATGCTGTCTTGTAAACCTACACTGCTGCCACAGCCTCCCATTTTTCAGCATTGGAAGACAGTTCAGCCCAATGAGACAGACACGGTGAGCTTGTGACTCACCATCCCATGGAGAAAATAAAGCGCTTTTTCATTTCCCCTGCAGTTGCTACCAGGTGCAGTGAAGAAGCTGTGCACGTCCAGAGCTTGAGGCCACACAAACAGCTATTTTAATGTGCTATCTAGATTTCGTTAAATACACAGCAAGCGCATCATGCATCAGTGGCTGCAATGTCCGGGATCTGCCACAAATACAACACTTTTTCTTTTTTTTACCAAGAAAGCTTTTGCGTTAGGCAAACCATCTACAACACAACCTGCATCATTTGGCTGTGAGGTGCATGTAATGTACTCTTGCTGTTAGCCTGCATTCATCTCAGCCTGGCGAGGGGCCGAGGTTTGCATGTAAGGCTCCATTCGGTTGTTATTTCACACCTACAGTGTAGTAAAGGGAACAGAACTGACCGAATAGAACAAGCAAGACCCGTCTGCAGACCATGAGAGTCCTTGCTACTTACGATCTGAAGGCAGAGGGTTTGTGACAAGTGGAAGTGGGAGAAGCTGGGTGACAGCAGGCTGTGGCCCTTCAGCTTCTGGGGCTCCAGAGCCCCGTTTCACCATAGTTAGGACATCAGACAACTTGGCAGCTGGCATGAGACAGATGGAAGAACATGGAGAGAAAAATAACATAAACCAACAAAAATGGATGGAGCATGGGGAGGGCTAGGAATAAACGTAGAGAAATGGAGCAGATCAGTGGACTCCCCCACTTATTCAGGCTGTTGCCCCCTTTCCTCCTGAGCAACAACAGTAGCACCCCACCTCCGGACAAACCTCTTTTTGGTCTAAGTCTATTGCTCTACTACAAATTTAAAACAACCCATCACTGTCCCCCAGATCTTTCAACTGCCCTCGGGGGGCAGAACCACCTATTTTGTGAATCGTTGGATTAGATCAAGGAGAGGGGCCAGCAAAGAATCCCACTAACTCTCATTAGAGGTCGAGGAGCTCCTCAAGGCACTGGATGTTACAAAGGTGCCCGGTCCTGATGAGTTACACCCAGAGGTACTTTGGGAGAGCGTGGGGATATTCTCACTCCCACTGGCCTCCATTTTTGAGGCCTTGTGGAGAACGGGTGAGGTTCCAGAGGACTGGAGGGTGGCATCAGTGGCCTCAATCTTCAACAGGGGTAGTAGAAGGGGCATGGGGAATTACACAGCAGTTACCCTTACGTCCATTCTGGAGAAGATGATGGAAAGGCTTGTAATAGGGAAATCTCTACTAACTAGACAGGGAAGGGAGGTTGGCGCCATGCAACATGGCTTCTGTAAAACCAGGTCCAGCCAGATAAACCCAGTGGAATTCTATGACAAGGTTTCAAGGTGGCTAGATGGAAGGGATGCAGTGGATGTGGTTTACCTGGATTTCAGCAAGGCCTTTGACAAAAGTGCTGCATGATATCCTGGTTGAGTTCTGGGATAGACCAATGCACTGTCCAATGGATTAGGGCATGGATGACAGGCAGAAAGCAGAGGGTAGCTCTGGAGGGCAGGAAGGAGCAAAGCTCAGGGAACCAAGGTTCAATTTGGATGCCAGGAAGCACTTCCTGACAGTTAGGACCCCTCGAGTATGGAATGGGCTTCCACAGGAGGTGGTTGAAGCCCCATCGGTGGGGGTGTTCAAGGATAGGCTGGACATGCACATGGTAGGCATGTCATGAGTGGAGCCAGTTGGAGCTGGGGGTCAAACTAGATGGTCCAGGAGACCCCTTCTGTCTCAGGCTGTTTCTGCTTTCCAAACAGTTAATTTAAAAGTAATGTCTCAAAGAGTCCATATAATACAGATAGCTTTAATACTCTCATCCGATGTGGGTTTTCCACCATGCCTAATACATCAGACTTTGGCAACTAGGATGGCACATGGGAAAGAAGGAAAGAGGGGAAAACAAACAGAATGGTAAAATGCAGAGAAAGAGTGAAGAGAAAATGAGAGAGGCCTAGAAAAAAAACATAAGAGCATCTTTTTGATGCTGAGGGGCGGGGCAAGCACTGGGTCACCCTAGATATGTTGTTCTTTCATGGATTAGAGGTTCTTCCAAACAAGGGTTTCATCTTGCCATCACCTTGCCTCATTCACGAAATTTTACAGTGGGGGTCTAGATATGATTGACTTCCACTCATAGCCTTCTCATGTCTTCCTACCTGTTCTTCTGTTATATTTTTAATGAGAAAAATCCATTAAGGGAGGGGGAGGGATTACTGAGCAGTGCCTTGCCTTCCAATTCCTAGCACTGGGAGTCCTCCATCTGGAAGTACCCCAATAATAGCACAACTAATACTCTTCTTAGAACTGTTTCCAGATCAAACCATTTTATGTTTCAAAATTTAGCAAGTATGAAATAATGAGGGGCTAACATAGGAGGGGCACATACTCTGCCCTTCCTTCAATACACCAGTCCCTGCCAGCAGCACCTTGACTTTCCTGAGCTCAGCAAGTGGGTCTGGGAGGGATCATAAAACTAGACTCTGGGGCCAACCAGTGGAGATGACCAGTAGGAGGTTCAGAACAGACCAAGTGAGGCCCTTCTTCAAATAGTTAAAGTACTGTTACCATCTTCATCATTAATTTTTATACCACCCCACAGCTGAAGCTCTCTGGGCAGTTGACACTGTTCAAACAGTTAAGAATAAAATTAAAATAATGGGGTGTGGGGGCAGAAACCATCAAAAAGTTTTAAACAGCTAAAAACAGCGGATAAAAATGGACAATAAAAAGACCTAAGAAAAGATTGACTCTCCGAAAGACAAGAAACAGCAAAAGAGAAGGGTGGTTGTCCTCAGGTCCCTAGGTAGGCAAGTAAGTCTTTAAAAGCCTCAGAGAAAAGGGCTGTCTTAACCTGATGCTGAAAAGATGACAGATTCAGTGCCAGCTGAGTTGCAGTGGGGAGGTGATTCCATAGATGGGAACCAGCACCAAGCAAGTCCTCCTATTAAACTTCCACAACCGTGAAATGCCTTACCCACATCCACTACCTTGGATAACTTTAAAAGGGGATTGGGCAGATTCCTGGGGGAAGAGCCCCCCCCCCCCCCCCGCATTTCAAGGTGGACACATGAGTACATGTAACTGTCACAATGACAACATGATCCGAGGCAACGTTTTATTTAATTATTTAAAACTTTTGTATACCGTCCACTACCATGTGGTCTCGGGCAGGTTTTATACTAAAACAAAGTGGAGCACAGCATCCATGCTATACAATAAAACCCCACTTATAGTCACAATCTAACCCTTAAAATACTGGGGAAATACAAAGGTTTTGGCCAGGTGCCAAAAATAAGGTGTTGGCACCAGATGAACCTCTCTGGGGAGCATATTCCGCAACCAGGGCACCACCAGAGAAGGCCCTTCTCTGGGGAACCACCCTCTTAATCTCCTTCAAGGAAGGCTCCTGAGGAAGGACCTCTGATCCAGATCTTAAGGGGCAGGAAGGAGATGCTCCTTCAGATAACCAAGTCATGAATTTGTATGCTAGCTGCTGGGAAACATGGGTGGGAGGGTGCTCTTGGGCTCCCATCCTGCTATGGGCTTCCCATCAGCACTTGGATGGCCACTGTGTAAACAAATGCTGGACTAGATAAAATTTCAGCCTGGTCCAGCATCGCTCTTACATCTTTATGTTGATCCCTTTCAGGCTGTCACGAGCGTTCTCTCTTTTCCCCCATGCCTCTCCTTTCCCCTTCCATGCAGATTAAGGTGAGAGGCTTTTATTAAATTAGGCTAGCCAGAGTGGATAATATAAAGGCTGTTAGCAAGAAGCATCCATCCAGTTAACGATCCCTCTAATTGTTTAATTAGTTCTGCGCATTTCAGAAAGGTGTTTTCAACTTGAATTCACCTTCTTCCTTCCTCATCAAATGGAACTCGCTCCACTTTCAGGGATGTTCATGCTGCTTGTGGAACAAATGATGGAGATGCTGGACATTCAATTGGCCCGCTCGTTTGATATGGCCTTGAACCACTGGGTTAAGCAAGTGACACCTCCCCGCCCCCCATCCTCCCTGCTCTACCATGTCTTTCCCTGAACCAAAGAGAGTCTGGTTCTCACCAGCTGCTTAGCTGATAGACTTTGGTAATTTGGATCAGCGTTCTGATCCTACCTCTTCTTACAGTTCAGATCCAGAGTCTGAAGTATCCACTTCGGAACGCTGCAGTTTAGGGAAAGCAGGCTCCATCCCTGCACCTATTTCCACAGTCAACATGTTAAAGGTTGGCCTGGGAAAGCTGGTGGACTAATTTGAAATACAACTGGCTGGTGGGGGGAAAGAGATGTATTACATAATGGAGTATTTCCCCCCTATGAGCCCCACCACCATCACTTATTGAGGTTCTTCCCTAGTGTTGTACCGTAGTTTTTCCTGCATGGGCCTGTTTTTGCCTAGGGCATACATGCAGGTTAAATGGCACAGTCTGCGAATGCTCTCGCTGTGTTTGTCTAGATCAGCCTTTATAACCGGGTCTAAGTTAACTTATACTAAGAGCTGTTTTTCCCCTTAAGAGTGAAACATGGGTAAGTCACACAAAAATAATGAAAAATGCATGGTTCACTATAGTGAGAATCAAATGCCCGCCTGAGCTTTCCCTGACTCAGCAAGAAAGTGTTGTTACACCACTCTGGGGTTCCCTGCTTGTGTGCGCAGGAATTCCAGATTACAATCTTTCTCAAATCATTATGCAGCTAAGCTCCCCGTAGCATATCACTCAGGGGAACTGCGTCTGTTTAAATGCAAGGAGTTTCTGGAGTGTGTGAGTGCATGCAGGAGAGGAAGAGAAGTGAAAAATAGAGAGGACGTTGCAGAATGTGTGTGATACGCTGGGTACATGCAGGCAATACCTGCTACTTACACTGGAAAGGATTTGCAACACCTGAGGAAGGGCTGGGCAGAGGGATGGAGGGCTTTGGCTCTTCAGCATCGGGGGTCTCAGAGCCCCTTTTCACCATGCCTAATACATCAGACAGTTTGGCAGCTGGGATGAGACGAGGGAGAGAATGAATAGAAAACAAAGCAGAAAAAATTAACAGAAAAGGGAAACCAATACACAATAAAGAACCAGGAAGAAGTTAGAGGAAGGATCTTGCTTAAGGAATATGGCATTTTACATGTAAGGAGGGATGTGGCTTAACGACTTTAATTGCCTAATTTACTTACATTTCAAGTATTAATTAGAGGATTAATGCCCTTGATTAATTAGGGAATACTAGTTCTTTTTTTTTTCATCTTTGGATAAATGATCGTATAAACAATTACATTTGTTGCTTCTCAGGAAAGATGGGCCGGGCAGAGTTCAGGATTCTTTGGGAGTAAATAATTTGTCCGGAGAATGACATAGGTTAAGAGCAAATGTGTGTGAGCAAAATCCTTTGAGATTCTCAGCATGTATAAAGGGTTGTGTATTCAGGATCAAACCTGATTCCTACAACCACCTCTTAAAACTACCACCCTCTTTTCGGACTGCATATTGATTGATTGATTGATTGATTGATTGATTGGACTTCTATGCCGCCCCATTCGCCGAAGCCTTGGGGCGGCTCACAGTCATAAATAAGTAATGCCAGTGGTGTTAAATAACGCCAACAGCAGTGAGTGAAAGCAAAGTTGGCGAAGTGAGTATGATGTCTCAGCGGCCAGTCTGTTCAGCAGTCCGTCGTATCATATGCAACTTACACTGGAGCGGAAGAGCATTTGCAACAACAGGAGGTGGAAAGGGCAAAGTGGTGGAAGACTTTGGGTCTTCTGCTCCTGACTGCCCAGAGCCTCGTTTCACCATGCGTAATACGTCAGAGAGTTTGGCAGCTGGGGTGGGACAGATGGGAGCAGGGAGGGCAAGACAGGGAAAGAAACAAATTTGAAAATGCAGGGTGGAAAAGAGAAGTATTAGGAAGATTAAGTAGAGAATGTAATCAGGACAAAATGACATACAGGGAAAGCTCTTCTAATATTATTCACACATTCCTAGCTTAATTATAGCCTGCTTAATATTCTCCCTAGAACCCTTTTTTGTGGAAGCAAAGAATCATATTAATTCTTTTTAAAAAGAAATTCCTCTAACGTTTTATTCCCATCCTGTAAGAGTCTCTTCTCTGGCTCTTCCTAGCCTAGAGTATGCTGCATACAGACTCACCTGCGTGTTTGAATGGCTCACTTCATTCTGTGAAATATGCTTAGCAAAGGAGAGCAGCCCATATATAAGACATTTCCCTGCTCCTTTTCTATTCCACCTACATGGTCGCCATTGTTTTTAAGCATTTGCAAAAGTAACACAAAGCATTTTGTCACATGAAATGTTTTCATGCAGGATTGGGAAAAGAAAACATTATTAGTGTTGCAGGACTTTTGATCCTTATATAATTCAATCTACTCTTTTAAAGGAACGTGAAGCACATCTCCCATCCTTGCTAGTGGATGCCCCACCCCAGAAAAAAACTTGTTCATCTTCAGCAAAGGAGACTAGAATCAGGGTAAGTGTCAAGGGTAGGCACGAGTGGGCATCTGCCAAGGGCTCACATCCCAACAGGGCACACCAGGCAAGAGTGCCCTGAAGCTGCTCCTTCTCTTCACTATTGCAGCCTGCTGGTTCACCTCCCTTTTGCTCTAGCCCAGGGAACAGCGATGCTGACAAAAGAAGCAGGAGAGGCCACTGACCCTCTCCTGCTAAGGAAGCAATTGTTAGCAATTACGAGAAAGAGGGAGAGGAGCAGTCGCAGCTGGTGGCGAGAAGGCAGACCTGTTGACCAGAAGAGCTCATCGAGGGTATCTTGCCCAAGGACCCTCAAAACTCTGAAGCCAGCACTGACTGGATCCCAGCGAGATCAAATGCAACAAGCTATAACATTTGTCTTCTTCAGAAGACCTTCTAAAGTGATTACGGAGACCCTCTAGAATTTTCACCCAGACCAACTTTTCAGTGCTGCAAACCCGGGTAACTATCCACTACTTACTCTGGGGAGATGAAAGGTTTGCAACAGCTGAAGTTGTGGAGGGTGGAGAGACTGAAGTCGTTGGCTCTTCAGCTTCTGGGGGCCCTGAGCCCCTTTTCACCATGCCTAATACATCAGACAGTTTGGTAGCTGGGACAGCACAGGTGAGAGAAGACAGGGAAGGGGAGAAAGAAGAGAAAGCAAATACAATGGAAAAAGAACCAGGGAATAAAGAACACTGAAAAGATGAGTTAGGAAACAGGAACATTAAATGAGGAGGGTCCTTTAAAGTCACACCTAATCTCCCTGCCCCACCAGGAACCAACACAAAAACTGTGCTCTTACCTAAACATTCGTGGCTACTAATGCCATATAGACAAAGCTGAGGTCCCATTGAAATCAGTGGTCCAAGGCAGGATGAGACTCAGGTCAATGGAATTAACTTAATTTTGTTCCAACTCTAATATTTATTCATGCAGTCAGGGTGTTTTGTTTTCTGTGTTTGTTCTCCAGAACATAGCTGAGCTCAGATGTAACAGGTGATCGTGCATCCTCACAATGTGATAGAGCATGCAGAGGCCTCAGGGTCATGGACCCTGTCTGCTATTTTATATACCAGTGATGGCGAACCTTTTAGAGACCGAGTGTCCAAACTGCAACCCAAAACCCATTTATTTATCACAAAGTGCCAACACTACAATAAAACCCGAAAACTGAGGTTTTTGTTCAGTAAAATGATGCAGATGCTGGGGTGACTTGGCTCGCGTGCTGACAGAGAGGGCTCTGCATGCCCACTGTGGCACGGGTGCCATAGGTTCACCACCACCACTGCCCTAACCCTTCCCTGGTGCACTAAGGCTAAAGTTCCATTGAAAAGAGGGGGATTTTGAAAAAGCCTTCCTTGAGTAGCTTTTCTTGCACATCTCATCATTTCTGCACATTCTAAGCACATTCCAAGTATCAAAATCAAGACAGGACACCTCATTTTTCTAACCACCACCCAATGATGGTGAACCTTTTAGAGACTGAATGCCCAAACTGCAACCCAAAACCCACTTATTTATCGCTAAGTGCCAACACTACAATAAAACCCCAAAACTGAGGTTTTTGTTTGGAAAAAACAACTCACAGCCAGTCCAAGCAATATCCTTGGCAGCGCACTGACTGGCCATGTGAAAGCTCGGACGAGTCGCGGCTAATGAGCCCCAGCTCGTGACGTCATTGTCTGGCGCCGCTACTCCTTTCCGAGCCTGCGCATTGGCCCCTACGTGCGCTGTTATCCAATGCTCAGCTGCTGGGGCGATGCTGGGGCGACTTGGCTCGCATTCCGACAGAGTGGGCTCTGCCTGCCCACTGTGGCACACGTGCCATAGGTTCGCCACCACTGTTATATACCAGTGGAGGAGATTAAAACCCTTTGCTTCTGTTTTAAACTAACCACAGTACCCTGTGATGTCCAAACTCAGGAAACAGGTTTTTGAAAGTTACACTTTGTGATCAAGCCAGGATCTGAAACCTAATCTAGCTTCTTCTCAAACGGCAGTTCAAACCAAGGGTAGGCAACTTAAGACCTTTCAGATATTTTGACCTACAACTTTATCACCCAGTTCAAACAAACCAGTTTCTCAAGTTCAGTTGTCGTCAGGAACTGTGGTGGGTTTAAAATCCAAAGTGGATTATTTCAGTCCTTCAAAGATGATGGTTTCCACCCCCTCCCCTGATGTACAGCAGACAAGGAGGGGGAGTGATCAAGTCCATGTAGCAGGAAGCATTGTTTCCAGTTACATCTGAAGTGGGCTGCAGCTCGGGAGAGGTATCGTCAGGTATCATCCACAACGAGTGAAAACTGGAGGTGAGGAACACAGGGACTGTGTGACTTACAAGCAGCAGCAATAGCAGCGGCAGCCGATGGCATCAGTGATGACTGCAGACTGGGAGAAAGTTCAGGGGCTGTTCCGAGATTCACCTGGCTTTTTACAAGCTCATTATCAGTGGTCTTAACTGGGCAGAATGGTTGACAGATGAAAAAGAAAACGAACAAAGAAAAACAATGAAAGAAAGAAAGAAAATGTCCCCAAGGAAAGTGACAATTCTGGTGGGAGAAAAGTGGAGACAGAGGACAGGAAAGCAGAATATGCATTAACCGGGAAGGAAAGGAAGGATGGAGAAATGGAACCAAAAAGAGGGAAAATATATATATAGGAGGCATGGACAACATCTAACTAGAGGACTTGACTGGGAATAACAACGAATCACAGTGTTTGTATGCTTCTCCTATGTATTCAAAGCAATTCTTATACCATTATTCCAGCAATTCTAGTCCTGTATTGTTATCCTCATTTTGCAAATGGGAAGGAAAGACTGAGGCTAAGAGACAGTGGCTGGCTTAAGATCATCAAATGCGTGAAAGGCCAAGCTGAGATTTAAACCCATGACGCCCGGTCGTCTCAGGCTCTTAACCATTACCTGGTTCAATAACACGGGCAGTTAAGTCACCTTGTTTTCCTTGCATTCCTGCTAAGCTGCAGAGCAGCTCCGCTGGAATGCACATGGGCATGCTTTGGGTCCTTCAGGGCAGGAAGGGAAGACCTCAAAATTCCGAAGTTATAAAATTCAAATAAGCCAATTTAACAACATCACATCGCCACTTACAAGCTTACCCAGAAATTGAATCAGACAAAATCTGAATATAAGTAAGTTAGCACTTCCTAACAGAATTAAGTTAATCTTGTGCTGTCTTTGTTATTGAAAGCCCAGAGTGATGCGGGAGTCTTCGCTTTCCCTCTCCCCACTGACCACCCCCCTATCTGGCATATCCTTCACAGCTTAGTCTGCCTCTTCTCTCTCTTCCCAGCCCTTCCTTACTCTTTTTGTTCTTTTTCAATCCAGTTTTCCCCCCAGTGTGTCCAAAGGACATGTCCTCCCCAAAACATACACCCTTCTTGGTATGCAGTTTTAGTGGGGCTAAAATTTAATCTTTGGAAAAAATATTTTCATCTTCATGAAAAAATGCCCACAGAACGCAACTCCATCTTTGTGTTAACCCTGCAACTTCCTAGTAGCCTGGACAGGATTCCTCTGTAGTGAATGCTGGCTTGCAAGGCTACTTGCATTTCATTCTTCCTGGAACCACCAGACCAGACCAGCCCTGAACTTGTAACTAGAAGCAGCACAGACTAGGTCAATATTCTAGAAAATGCAGGTCTAGCCTGATCACAGGTATCTTTGTCCAGAGAAAGAGCTGCAGCTTCTTACAGAAGCCCCACACTGTGCTAATTTAAGAAATTGGGCCCAATTGCTCAAGAGAAAATAGGCTTCCCTCCTCTGGCATTATTGGGAGTGTTTTCTGAGACTCAGAGCTGCCATGTAACAACCTCCACTACTTAGAAACAAAAATGTGATTTCGGAGCAGAGCAAAAATGAGCCCACACAGGATGCAATTCCAAAGCACACCTGCCTGGGAATTAACTTCTGAGTAGACAAACACACTGTTGGACGGAGAAGGCCCCCTTGCCCTCCCCTCAGAACAAGCAAAAAACTTATCACACAATTCTGAACATAAAGGGAACACATCGAACCCTTCTTTACTTCCACAGCAAAGATATTCACAGTAACAGGAAATGTTTGCTTTGTTCAATTTGCAATGCTCTGTAATCCCTCTGGAAAGAAACCAGAAACAGCTGCCTCAATATTTGCTTTGTCTGCCAGGGCCAAAGTCGTACAGCCTGCTACTCCAAGCAGCTGCATGACACAATCTGAAAGAGGTGTCTCAGCCTGCTATGGCACTGGTCTTCACCAGAAAGGCCAGGACCTAGAAGCAGGTTGAGGACCAATCGTAGGTCAATTACAGCAAAGGCCCCACTGCTCTTTTCTCTTCTGGGATGTGTGTGTGTGTTCTGTTGCTTTATCAAGAAAAAGGAAAGATGCCCACAGAGGGAGAGGGAGAGATGACCCCAAGCAAAGGAAGATAGCTCCTTTATTTTTAACAATTAATAAACAGCTAAAGAGAGATTGTGGATGGGGGCATAGCTTTTTCAGTGCAAGCTACACCTGTAAAAGCCACCTCTTCGGACTTCCAGGGGAATGATGACTTGATGAAGCAGCAGCGAATGTTGCTGCTTTCTGCCTTATCATGTTGGGATGATTATAAATTGCCCTGATGGGTGTTTACCTCTCTAAATGACAGGTGAGTGTCAAGACTTGTTTGCAGCTCTGATTTCATTGAGGTGGCCTAAGAAGGTAATGCTGGAGACAGTAAAAAAGAGTCTGCCTTCCCCACACTTACTTTTTCTTTTCTTTTTATCATTCTTTCAGTTTTATTATTCTTTTTATATTATGACATTTTCTTTGCCAAGGGAACAGCACACCAATTTGCTGCAGCTTGAACTCTTAAGGCATTTTTGTTTGCATATTTTGAAGGGACTCCAAAACAGATAATCTCTTGTTGACAGACAGAGTCTTATTTGCAAAGCTGTTAAACGTCTGTACTCTAGAACTAAGCATTACGAATACTGCAAACTAACCTTGGTATGAAAATACTAGCTGGGTAAATTTTCATGCTTAATTGTGTTTTTTGAATTGAGGAGGACAACAATGGTGCTTTTTGGACACCATTTTTCTGTGCTGAGACTTGAGGTTATGATTTTGGTTGTGGTCCAGATTTTAAGGTACTTCTGATTCTCTGTTTGGAAAGGACTTTGAAAGGGATACACTTCTACTTAATTTTGCAGCTGTAAATTGTCTGATGTTTTAATTCAACAATCCTGGACATTATAAATTGACCTTGGCTGAAGCTCACTGTAGCAGAAAAGATGTTCTCTCCCCTTTCGTTGCTGGTTGTTCAAGCTGGGAGTCTTTTTGTTGCTGTTTTTGATCTAACCTACACAGGATTTGCCCTAAGGAACAATGTTATCTCCCTGGGACTTGGGGTTTTTCTGCTAGTCCTGGCTCCCCTTATGAATAAAAAATTAGTGATCCTAAAGAACAAAGAACAAACATGATATACTATGAGAAGACCATTAGGTCCACCTATTGGCCTTGGAGAAGACTGGAGGTCAATGCCCTTTTCTATGAAAGTTGGAACAATGCCTCTTTTTAATAAACTAATTCAAAATAATATTTTAACACAGATGGAATGGGACTAATAATTCTAATATTGACAGATGGCTGACTAACTAGCATTACCCGCTTTTGTCTTTTGTCCTTTCTCCCTCTCTTCCCCCTCCCGTATTTTTTCCTTTTTTTCCCCTTTTGTCTTTTTGACTCTCCTCCTCTAACTCTTCTGCTTTAAGCTGTACTGTCAAATTGCAGTTTAGTTATAGGTATGAAGAAATATGAGAAGAGAAGAGAAGAGAAGAGAAGAGAAGAGAAGAGAAGAGAAGAGAAGAGTTAATGTGAGAAGGAAATCTGAATTGGAAACCTGGAGAGCTGATGACAGAGATAGTTGTCTGAGCTCCTTAGATTGAGTTTTAGAGACAGAATGAAGATATTAATTGATATTAATGCATTGATTTTTTTCTTTTAAGAGAATCAAAGCAGTTTTTCATGAGTCTTAAAAATATATTGTCAGAGAGCCTTTCAGGGAATATGTCAGATAAGAATGCAGCTGGTTCTGGATGGAGACCACCGGAGTCCTCAGCAATCGAAGAATGGAGAAACGGATTGGTGGCGCATGGTGCACATTCCTCTCAAGATTGTGAGAGGAATGTGCAGCATGAGAAGTGGATCTGAGGTGTTTAAAAAAGACAGGGAAAGCTGCGGAGGATCTGAAGTGATTGGAGGACCTGCTGCATAGATTAAGGATTTTTTTTTGTATTACTTTTTTATGGAGTGTTGATGGATAGATTCTGAGGGCTGATTGTACGGGTTGGACCTGTATCGAATTCCCTTGGCAATTTTATCTACTTCAGCTTGCTCTGTTTATTATAGTTGTTTTGCTTTCAAATAAAAGACAAAAAAGGCCTCCTCTTCTACACCATTAACAACAATACAAGATCTCTGCTCTCTTTTGTTTCTGGCTATCCCAAAGAGATAAGACAGAAAATAGTGGATCTATATGTAATTGCTTTTCTTACTCTCCTGTAAAAACATAATGCCCACAATCAAACCAGAAGCATGATACTTGAGGAGGGGGTGAGAACCTCACCTATTTTTCCCCTCAAATTCCACTTTTCCTGAGGTTGGGCAGGGGAGAGAAAAAGCCCCCACCGACTCCACTGGAGACTTTATTCCCCCAGCACATGGAATTCCAAGATAAGCAGGTGGAGGAAATGCTTAAGCCCCCTTCCAGGAACCCATGGTCCCTATCTGAATTGGGGTCACTTGCTCTCATGAAGATGTAAATAAGCCACAGTGACATTATGAGTGACTAGAAGAACAATTATCTCAGCTCAGAGCGTGTTACCTTTGGCTTCCCTGAAAATGTTTATAGCAAAATAAGTAAACAAATGAGAAGCTGCAATGTACCATGAAGCTGCTGGTAACATCCAAACCCAGGTTCTTGGCTTACTGATCCCTCTACATGCCAGGTCTATAAACTAGTGCTTGTTTCAACCTTCCTCTTTAGGATAAGCACACTAGGCTGCCAAGTGTGGACAAGCTTTAGTTTTCTAGTTAATTCAGCTGTTCATGCTAATGGAGAAAAATAACCAGGAATATATGATTTGCAATGCAACAGCATGTTCATGGTAAGCAAAGATTTGCCAGAATTCTGGTTCACTGAGATATGTGGATATAGCTATTCTAAGTCGTTGCATACGACTTTAAAACCCACGGAATCCTTTTTCCATTTATCCCAGTTTTGTTTTCTTCTCTTACCATTCTCCCTAAAAGGTTCTCTCTCTCCCCCCCCCCAATCCTGCATTCCCCACTTCTCCCATGCATTGACGTATACGGCTTCCAAAGATCCATTTATGCCAAACAGTCAGGAGGGCTTTTGCCAGCTTGGCATCACATGAAATGGGCTGTCTATCTGGCTGACCCTTTAAAGCTGTTACCTTTCGTGTCCTCATCCTCTATGGTGGTGTTTGTGCTGTCAGATGATTCCTGTGGAAACATACAGGGGTAGAAGGAGGAGAAAACAAAATGTTAGTGGGTTTGGCCAGAAATAAGTCCCTGAGAAGGCGTTACAGAACTTGAATTTGCAGCCAAAGTAACCATCTGGACAGGTGAAAAGAGGGACCACAGAGAGCTCAAAAGACCAGCATCTAACAAACAAGTCAGCATTACAGCCACTCTTTCTTCTCTCTTCTGCTTCTAAGAGAAGCATCTCTCAACTACTTTTTCCATTGCAGGGAAAACAAGGGCCTTAATCTGCACCTTCAGCATTATCAAATCCTGGATTTTCTCTTCTTCAAAATACACCAGAATCTTTTATTTAAAAAATTAAAACCAAGTCTAATTTCTTTAAAAATCTTTAAAACCAAGTCTAATTTCTTTAAAAATCTTTAAAACCAAGTCTAATTTCTCTTCCCTTTCAAATGGCTGCTTGAAAATAGCTCCACCCGGCAAGATGGCTTTAAATAACATTGGTTTACAAATTACACAGAATGTGGAAAACAGAAGTGGGACACACTTGCCCTTTTGCTTTCTTGCTTCTGAAAATGAAAGCTCATCAAGCTCACCTGTAGCCCCCGTGATGCTCACAGATCTTGCTACAAAGTGGACCTGCCGTTCCCATCATGAATGATGCCTCAGAAACAGGAAAAGTGGACCCACAATTGCCTTGTATGTCTCGAGGACCACACAGACCTTAACAGCTTGAGATAGTCGCATTTTAGCTGAAGCGGAGACTGCCCTTTACATGGTACCTACAGCAATCTTCCATATTTGCAGGTTTAAACAGCATGGCAATTTAAACAGCATGGCAACAAGCAAATTCCTCATTCCTCAGAGCTATCACTAATATTTCTCTTAACCCCCACCCAAAGAAAGGATGTTGGGATTCAATGCACGAATATTTTGGAGTGCTAACAGACGTGAACACACAGTGGTAGTAGCAGTAGGAAGAGCAACACCACCAGCCAAAAAAATTGAGTAGCAACGAGCAGAGAATGGCTGTTTCTCGGTGGTGCTTTCTGAGGCTGTTTTGCTATGGGGGTTTTTCTCATTCGTGCTCCAAGCTGTTGGCAAATAAAATATCCAAGACCTCCACCAAAATCCACAGTGGCATTTCCAATTCCTTATCTATAGTGGCTGCATTTGGATGGTTGATGACAGCAAGCAGTATTTTATGATCCCGCCATAGACATTTGAGGTGAAGCACTTCTCTGCTCGCCTCTCTTCGCCCTACTCTGACCACACAGCCTGGGAACTATGGCACAGAGTCCATTAACAAACCAAGGAAACAGCCCGTGACTGCTCAGACTTGATGCTGATTCATGGCTTCTAAAACCATTTTTTATGAAGCCTGGGACAATCGTTTGAACGTGGCCCATGAGGCTTTTGGGAGCCATGAGTGAATAACCTCTCTCCTCCCTTAAAAGGAAGTGTAATCCATTGCTACTTCACTAGAAGACCAAGACAGGCCTTTGCACAGTGCAGAGCAGGGCTATTCCAAGGCATTTTCATTCCTGAAGCTAAGAAGTTGGCTCCCCCTCTCATTCGATGTTCAAAATTGTCCAGATGGCAGCTGTCTTTTTTTCCCCCAACACCCGTGAAGGGGACAGCGTATTCTACCTCACCCAAAGGCAGGAGTCTATTTTAAGGAGCACATGAATGGCCATGTGGCACACAGCTCTCTCTTCCAACACCTTTGCTGCTGTCTCTTAGCATCTGCCAGCTGAGGCAACTGTTCATATATCTCTCGCCTTCGACCTCACCCAACAGCTGGGTCAGACTTCATGCAGCAGTAATAAATCATAGGTGAAGGTAGTGAAACAGAGCATCTGGAGAGATTAAAAAGGTATGACACCAGCTCTTTTCAGCATCTTCACATGGTCCATAACAGACTCATGGAACGGATGGCCACAGGACGTGGTAACAGCCAGCAGAACTTTCAGCGGGCAATAAGACAACTTCAGGGAATATCAGTGGCTATTAGTCATGATGGCGATACAGAGTCTGCAGGTGCAGAGATGGTCTACCACAGAATATTAGTTGCTGGAGAACCGTAATGGGAAAGGCCTATTTTATGTCCTGCTTGTGGGCTTTCTAGCAGCATCTGTTTAACCACTGCAGGCCACAGGATGCTGGCAAAACTGATCTTTGGTCCGGCACAGCAGGTACTCCTTGCATCCTCCTGAGCTTCCTGCATTTGTCTTCGTGGAGAAACTTCCATGGTGTTATGAGAAGATGAGGATCCCATCCATACTTTCACCATAAGGAGAAATCTAGCACAAAAGCTGTGTGTCTGTACGTGCATGTTTAATTTTCTCCAACCCACCCATTCTCCCAGCAAATGTACCCCAAGAAGTTTTTTAAACTTATTTCCTCCAATTGAGCCTTAGGATGAAGTTTTCTTCTCCAAACCATCAGTTTTCTCCACACATTCCCTAATCCTCACTCATGTAACATCAAGAAACATGAGTTTTGAATACACAGGTGCCAACACATATTTCTGCCACCCTTAATTCTGATTGTCATTATCCACACTTTGAACAAATATCATCCACCAAATCTCAACTGAGTCATTGAATTGTTTATACACTCACTCCCTACAAATATCACCTAAAATAAAACAAACAGGACAGAATTCTGCAGACATTTTCTCTATTTTTAAGAGCTATTCATGTGAGCTAGCAAATGGGCACTCTACCAAAAACACTTTAATACAAGATATATACAGAAATAAAGAAGGAATACCTTCCAAACTTTTATAAGATTGCCCTTAATCTCAAAAGTGTTTCTCACAGCTGTTGCTAGGGTTAGTCTGCTCTGCTCACCACATAGATCAAAGCTTGGTGCCCTCAACACTGGGTATTCAGCTCCTGGGCACTCAGTGTTGCTTCCTTGTTTATTTAGGACATCATTACTGCAGGAATTCATTTTGACTCCCAGGCCTCCTCTCACAGATGTTAGGAAAAATGTTTGAATGCCATCCACACAATCTAGGAAGTGCCCAAAGGATTGTTTACAGGCTAATTTGACCCTCTTGGAATTCCGTAGCCACTCTGGATGCATCTTTTTCCCCAACTCCCCTCACCCGTTTTGGAATGATGGGGGCTGCATGCAGGCCACATATCACAGAATTCCTGGGGAATTCATGGAAGCATTTCTTGTTCTCCAGCATGCAGGGCATACTTCCTGGGTGTTGCTTCTGTCCAGTGGGAACTATGCCAGCTGCAGAGTGGGGCAGAAGAAGGGCAGGTCCTGAGAAAGAGGAAGCTTCAGAAAGTGCGGTCTGTGAGGGAAGAGAGGGAGCAGAATGTGGAGCGAGTGCCCCATTTATGGTGCACATGACTGGCCTCACTGGCCGTGCTGAGATAGGTGTCCACACAAAAGTCCCTTACTTCAGGAAAACCATTTTCCTGACTGCTGCCAGCAAGGGAAGACTTGTCTCCATCACAGGCCAAGGAAGCGCCATTCCTTGGCCTCAGGAGTTCTCACAGTGATCAAAGCAGGACACCAGGTCAGGCCAAGGATGAAGGCAGCTAATGCCACCTGAATAGTCCTGGCACTGTATGGATACTGCGACAGCCTTCACAGGTTACTCACATGGAAGGGGCTTTAAGGCTACACTTTTAGCCCTAGCCAGACACCAGTACGGATGTCTAAGGTATGGCGGCTGTCTTGCATGGAAAATAATACATGGAGAGGGTTCCCTGAATCTTGATCCTGCAGACTTCCACAATATTAACAGTGAAAAAGCTTCGGCTCTTGGGTGGTATAAAAAAGAAACAACAACAGTACTAATGATGATGATCATGATTCTTGAAGTGTTCCCAGAGAGTCTCTTTACCAAGAGCCATTCTAATTACATTGGCAGCTACCAAATAATATTTAGAATCCTTTGCTTCTAACTTCTTTCTACCTCTCAGTTAAATACAAGGAATTCTAAGCATCAAGGGTTGTGAATGTAATAGGAATTGCCCTTGATAAATAGAAATCCTTGAAATGCAGCACAGAATCATAACCATTGAAGTTGCCTTTTTTGGTCTGGTTCCAGAATCTTGATCCTGCAGAGTTCCAAGATCTAGGCAGGCCTCCATGTGTAAAGGCCTGCCACTCAGACATCAGCACTAATGCACAAACAGCACGTGTGGGCGAAGAGCAGCAGCATAGGGCTAAAGGCACAATGCCCGTTTCAATATACTTCGCCCTTCCATGTACGTACTGCCCAAAGGAGGGTAGCATCATTTCTGATCCCAGGACTTCGCAAAAAGAGACAGCCCCTTCAGCCAGCAAATACTGGGGGAGTAAAAGCACCGGGTCCCTCCCCAAGCTGTTCTCCTGAGCCACTTTTTGGAGCTGGTGGTCAGTAGCATGGTGGGTGGCCAGCAGGCTGGATACTTTCGAAAGGAGTACGAATCAAGAAACGTTCGCCCCCCTCCTAAAGGTTCAGACAGACAAACAGAAGAATAAAGCGGCTCTGCTTTTTATGATCTTCCTTCTAAAATTGAACTGATAGGTAAGTAAAGATTCAGTCAATCCCCCCACCCCCCACCAAGTGTTCTGGGATAGCAGGGAGTTGGACCCGATGGCCTTCTGGACCCTTCCAACTCTTCTATTCTATGATTCTTTGATTTTAAACCACTATGAATCATTTGCATCCACTTCTGGGAGCAACTGATTTACCCAAATTTTTGCAGCTGGAAGAAGATACCGTCTGCTTCAGCATCTATCACTTTCTCGGAATCTCCTCTACTTCCATGTGCCTTGATGCTTCCCTCTCACAAGTGTTTGACAATCATTTTATTATACCAATTTTAAATTTAAGAAGATGGTCGGTGACCCACCCTCTGAAATTGTGTGTTTTGCTTTAGTTAAAAAGTAGGTTTCCTTGGAAGTAAATGCCATTGATTTTATTTAATGTGCACGGACAAATAGATTCACAAATCTATTGTCTCGCATGGAGGGCTAAGGTGCACATTTTAAACAAATATTGGTACTGAAAAAGCTTTCAGCTTCCATATTTGTCCTCTAAACCATACTAGGTTGCATGGTGTCATTTTTTCTATGTTAAACCTCATGTTGCCATCTTAAGAAAGAATATTCTGAAACCACATTCTTTATTGCTCTCTCTCTCTCTCAATCGTGGGTTATCATGGGGGGGGGGGGTGAGCAGACTTTGTCCCTAAGGAGTTTGCTTATTGGCATTCTTTTAGCTACCTGAAGTTCAGAATAATTTTAGGAGCAACTTAAGTATAAAAGGCAGTTCACAAAGGACAAAAACAGTAGGGTTGTGTCCCTTGGGGTTGTATAAAGAGGGACCTAATTTTTCCTTCTCCAAATGAACAAGGTTTTCCTTGTGTTTATTGTTGTGGCAGCAACTGTTTTTTTTCTTTTTTCTTTCTTTCTTTTTTTTTTTTTTGGTTTTTTTTTTAGCTTTGGCACAGGTGGCTAGACTATGGTGTCATGAATTAATGAAAGGAAAGAAGGGCTGCAGGAGGTATGAATTATACTTTGTGCAGTACACTAATCCTACGCAAAACAGCAAACTGAAATCCTCACAAACAAAGGCGCATTTCTGGGGGAGGGGGCACCTCTGGTGAGATAAGAAAAGTAAAGCAGATTTAAATTTACATTGTGGAGAAGTTAAAACATGATAAAATGCCTTCTACTCGAGTGATGTTCCCTTTTCTGTTTATAAGCCTGCAAAACGGTGACGGCTCCTTTCCCTGGGACAAAACCTAGAGTCTCACATTGTGGAAAGCTTACAAAATGCATGAAGTAGAATGACAGGCTCTTTATAAAAAAAAGAATTATATGTATTAGAAGATGGATTTTACAGCCTCCTGTTTGTGTCTACACAGAAGAGAGAGTCACAGGACTCTATCAAAGTTCAGCCTACAGTTCTCACATTCCTTAATCAAATACAATCGAATTGCTGACTTCAATACATAAAGAACCATTTTAGTTTCTCCCCAAAATACAAATAAAATGCCACATCAAAATTATCAATGTTATTAATGATCATCTAAGGCAGGATGTATTCTGTCCAGAGGCTGGAGGAAGGAAAAGAAACAAGGGCAACACCACTTCGCCTGCTTGGCCTCTACCCCACCCTAGAAGTTTTCGTGCTATTTTTTTAAAAAAACTGGGTCATCTTCCCCAAGCTCCATTTAATGGCTTTGCTAGATGCATTGAGTGAATGGGCTTGAAGAGGAAGCATAAAAAATGATAAAAAATTAAATCCCTGCAGCAGAAAATGGGTAAGAAGATGCCGGTTTGGGTGGAGGCGAGGGCTGTGGCCGAGCGAATGGATGATCGTGGCATGAAGAAAACATGTCAGTTCTCGGCCAATCCGACCTCTTGGATTGGTCTCTTTGGTCTGCCTGGCTGCATTCTTTCACTTCAGAATGAAGGACTGCAGTATTGCTGCCCTCTGGTTAAAGCCTCTGGGGTCAGAGTACAGGCTTCTTCCCTACCCATCCTATTACCCAGAGCAAAAACCTCAGATGCTAAGGACTATCCACCCCGTCAAAATATAAAGTTCCAAATGGCAAGTGAAACAATCAACATTCTCCCCTTTGTGACTTTTGCTCACAATTCAGAACATTTTCATCAGCCTAAAAACATCGGAAGAACACACCAGGGAGGGGAACCATAAAACCTTTCAACTCCCTCCAAAATTGGTGCAAAGCCTAACCTTTGAGCCTCTCCTTTGATCCTGTGATCACTTTCAATCACATTGGTGGATTCGTATTGTTCACTTTCAATGACATTGTTAAATTCACCTGTGTGACTAGAGGGAGAGCAAGGAAATAAGCTAACTCCCAGCCAACTAGTTCCATCTTCTTGAGAATATATTCGCTCTCCAGAAAGGCTTAATCCCATGAAAAGGCCCAGTTGGTCAGCTGCAAGTCTGATTTCTCTGGAGAGTGTTTCCAATAAACTCCAAAGAGCAACCTCCTTAATAACATGACTAAATAGTAGGCAGGTAGATTTAATCCTATCCTGCAGGGTTTCAGACATACTGAAACAGACAAGAGGTACAAAACCTGAGCCTACAGTCTGTCCCCAGAGGTGAAATTACACAGCAGTGCAAGGTGCAGAATGTCAATTTTTATCCAAGGTCACAAAAGGGCAAACTGAGGAGAAGGAAAGACAGGCAGCAGTACCTTAATCCCGTCCACTGGGTTATGGATAACGGTGGTTTGAGGTTCCTAGAGAGGAAGGAAGGATGAACCAAAGAACAAAACAAAGAAGAAGAAAAGGAAGAGAAGGATAAAATAAAAAAGAGGTAAAAAAGAAAAGGTGGTAATTGGAAGAGAGAGGGGTCAGGAAAATGGAGCAGAAAATGGTGAGGAAAATGTGAAGAAAAGGGAAGAAGGTGAAGAAAGACCAAGACCCACATAAGAGCAGGGAGGGGAAAACAGAATGGAAGGGAAAAAAGCAAAAGGTAATTAGTTCAGCAAAAGGCAAATGATTAACAAACAGAAAGTGGCAGAGTAAACCAGGAAGAGAAGAATCAAAACTGGATTTTCCATGAATGAAATCAAAACTCATATTCAACCCCATGGCAAGATTGTTGTGAGCCCCTTGGAAATGAAGAGCGCAAGCTGAAATCTGCATTCAGCCCTTCTGCAAGCCAAATAAACCATTGCAATAGGGAGCATGGTAGGGAGTGCTAGGAGAAGAGAAAATGGTGGAAATGAGCTCCCCATGGAGGTGTGGCCAATCCATACCTGGGTGGGTAAGATCTCAATACAGGCTCCACCTAAGAGCAAAGGAAGAAGAAAAAGAAAAGCAACGGAAGAGCAAAGGTCCTTTGACTACAACCCCGGGTCCTGTTGCCATTCTTGAAGACCGTTTTGATTAAGAACAAATATTTATCCAGAGGGCCTTGCTCCATGATGGCCCCATGGCCTAACTCCTCCAGCCATACGCACTCCATTCAGCAGGGCTCGGCAAAATGGACTGGTTACGGAAGGGCACACCCTTCAAGAGATCCAACTGACACCACTCTAGAATATACTGACTAATGTCTTCATGGCTAGGTACTTACCTTGAGCATCAGTCTGGTGGCATGCAAACTTCCCATGCTTTAAGAAATATTAAGATGTACTTACTTGAAAGAAGAGGCTGATGAGACAGCCACAGAGAAGCCACCATGAGGAATTTCTTATTGGGTGTCTGTGGTGTAAACGCGGATGTGTGTTTTTGTTTTACTTAACAAGTTTGCACGGTTTGCTAGGTGAAGTGAACAGGTATAAAACAAAGACAGTGCTCTTGTATCTTAAGTGGCTAGGGCAGAACTGGGCATGGCAGGCATATCTTATAAGACAGAAATGAAAAACAATACCCCTTTCTCGGGACAACTTCTCCATTGAGCCTCTGTGCCAGCTGAAGTGCCTGCTTGCCCAGGCATTTAAAAGTGTGATGCTGTTTGAGGTTAGTTTTGCTCTACTTTTAATGCTTCTGATCTGTTGTGTTTTTACTGCATTACATTTGCACTCTATTTTGCTTCACGTGTACACAGACACCCACATGGTCTCACTGAAAACCATCTCCTTGAAACTGTTCCTTGCACAGGGAGGAAAGTCATCTATCACATTCACATCCTTGGAGAATCCCTTTGCTGTTTAGGCTTCCATGCAATGGATATTAAGTTAGGAATATTAACCAGGCAGGATTTTAAATGAGTGCACAAAAAGTCCCAGGTTCAATGCCTTTAATTTCATGCTGAAAAGATCAGGTAGCAGGTGATAGGAAAGATCTCTCCCTGCTGGAGATCTTGGAAAGCTGCTATTAATCAGAGTTGATAACATGGGGCTAGCCACCTGGCCTGGTAGAAGACAGCCTTCTGCTGCTTCAAAGATGTACAGCGTTAATTGTACCTCATGCTCATTCATCAATCTGGGGGCAGGCAGATGGACTCGGGCCATCTGAGCCATGTCACTGTAGTTTAAAGGACATCATTTCGTAGCAAGACGCACTTGCAAAAGGAATGGATCACACTTCAGACTTTTCAGAATATTCTGAAGTGGTGGATCCTTCCCCCGTGGCTCTTACCTATGAATTGGACCAAGCCGCCTGGCTGGTGCTTCTGGCAGAATATAAACCTTTATTCTGGTGAAAGGGCAATGTGACCCTAGTTTGTGGCTTCCAGTGAAATGCTAACAGCCTTCTCAGATGAAAGCCTGGAGCACAGCAAGAGAAGAACATCTGAAGGATTTGTCTGTAAAAGGGCAGGTCTCGCTCTATACATATGCATCACTCATTTCCATGGTAACCGGCATTACCAATTCCAGAGGCAAGTCAGTATTGGCAATACTGTATTGGCAAGATATCTTGATTGGCTTGGAGAGGAATTAATCACAGCTAGGCTGTTTGCTGAAGGAAGTCAGTTCTCATCTGAAGACGCTGGAACAATGGATGGGAATAACTGCTGTGGATAAATGGGAGTGAATGGAGGCAACATAAGCCTGGAAATTCTTTTCAGGGCTTCTCCTCGCCCCCTGTGGCACACTTTGAATTGGGGCATTCACCAGCTACTTCTTAATGTTTAGCTTGTCACATGGGGCTCTCGCAATTGAAGTCACTGAGGGATTGGCTGCAGTGTGCTCAACAGAGCCAAAACTTCTCTCAATGGACAATTGGCGAATTGGACGAGAAAAACATCCATTTTGTGTAATCAAAAGCATGGTTTCCAACCTCATTTCTCTGGGGGAGCAAATATTTGTTCTTTTGGCACTATCCCAAAAGTAATCTGTAGTTACTGTCTTACTGTGGCTAAGGAACTTGCCAATCCTTCCCAAACTTTTTGGATAGTGTACGGTGGGAAAAGAATTTCCTCAGAGACCCCATCAGCCTTCAGGTTATTTTCTGGACTTAAAATACCAAGCAAATAACCTAACTGGTAATACATTTGTCATCATGTCCAATTTAATCAAATATATTTTACCCGGCAAGTAGGGGTGGAAAGATTGGCCAGTTTTGGGAGGAAGTTCACCTGTACCTGAATGTGCCACATACTCTGGAAGCAGCGATCTATAATGCAACAAAGATTTCAAAATGCATCTTTTAAATTGATGAAGGCAGATAAATTGAAAGAAGCTTAAAGAACATCACTGCAAGAAATTTTTTTTTAATAATTCCAAATAGGCAGAGATATTTGTTTAAAATCAAGTAATAAGGAAGGCAATATTCAAGGGCCAATGAGCTCTGCCATCTGAATAGAGCTATCATAGAAAAGACCCAAAGAAACTACCTGAAAAATTCAATAGGACCTTTGCACTACTGTATGAAAAGGGGAAAATTTACATGTTCGTTCTTTAAACAGCAGATATGAATATCACATCTTACTACTATTACAGTTCCAGCATGTAGACGTGATACTTGATATGTTCTTCCCTGTTCTCTCCCTATTTCTGTTTCCTTGTTTGCCATGTGTATTAGATAGGTAGTAGTGTTTTTCTTAATCTGTGTACAGTTCCTAGAAAATTTTAGGATTCCAGCTGCGCCCCTCCCTGGAGTACGACTGCCTGGCGACGGTGACACATGCGCTGGTGACTTCCCGCCTAGACTTCTGTAAAGCGCTTTACGTGGGGCTTCCCCTGAAGACAGTCCGAACACTTCAATTGGTGCAAAATAGAGCTGCCAGGTTGCTGACGGGGACGGGGCGTTATGCTCACATGACTCCAGTCCTCCGTCAGCTTCACTGGCTTCCCATTGAAGCCCGGGCCCAATTCAAGGTGTTGATTATGACCTATAAAGCCCTAAACGGCTTGGGTCCTGGCTACCTGAACGAGCGCTTACGTCCGTATATGCCCGACCGCCCTCTGAGATCTGCGGGAGAGTCCCTTCTCCGGGAACCCTCCATGAAAGAAATTAGGAGAGTAAGTACCCGGAGGAGGGCTTTCTCTGCGGTGGCGCCCAACCTATGGAATTCACTCCCCAAAGAGGTCCGCCTGGCACCGTCGTTACGGGTTTTTCGGCACCAGGTAAAGACCTTTTTATTTAAACATCATTTCAATTGTTAAAACATATGATCTGGCCAGGGCAACTTCTTCTTCCTTCTCTTTCTCCTCCTATATTTTTATTTTATACTGATAATTTTAATTTTATATTTGTAACTCAGTGTATTTTTTGTATTTTTATATTTAATGGTAATTTATTATGTACTATTGTATTCCAATGTATTTTATCATGTTGTAAGCCGCCCCGAGGTTTCGGCAAGGGGCGGCATAGAAATGTTAATAATAATAATAATAATAATAATACTAATAATAATAGATGCCAATGCTATTTTCAGTCAGGGAAGGATCACGGAAGGACCCACTGCCACCTCTCAAGTGACAGAACTGTTTACCTCTGGAAATCCAGGAAAGTTCAAAATTAGGGTTCTATCAGAAGCACTATATATTCTGGGATAGCTTCAGGGGTTAATGAAGAAGAACCCTTAAGGATAGTTCATTTTCATCTAACTGAACTTGAATCTTAACCATGTCCAAGATTTCAAGGTCGCTCCGCCTACCAATACAAACCAGCGGAGGGGGCTTGTGTAAGCATCACAACTTAAGCTCATCATAGCTTTCCAGAGAGCTGCGACTCACGACGCAGGTATGTGGTGGCACATTTGTAAGACTTGCTAAATCAATCTCACTGCCTCTGCCACTGAATTTGCAATATAGGGCTGCAATATGACACTGCTCTCTGTTCCTTGACACCTCAGAATTCAGTAAGCATGATTTAAAGTCAGTGGACAGTGTCCTATACTGCCATGATGCCTCTGCAAATCCTGCTTTGTGGATGGGATGGACCACAGCTGCAACAAGTTAATCTGCAGTTCCTAAAATATTTGCAGGTTATTTGCTAGCTCCTGTGATCTGCTTTGTCCTGGAAATGAATATTCCTGCTTGTGTTTTTTTCCCCAAGAGCCACTAGTTCCTTTCGCAATAGCAGTTTATTCCATTTGCATTGAGCAAGATAGGATGCAATAGAAACAATATGGATGCAAACAGTATAAAATGAGTGATAATTTAGCAGCCACTTTTGAAGAAAACTGGAGCAATTTTTAGATTTGTAAGCAAGATGCAACACTTATTTAAGGACTCAGTTCTCAGCTTCCATAGGCCAGGTGCTGGAGGGTACTACACCTGTGATACATCTACTCACTCCAATATATACTTACCTGGAAGAAGTGAGCTACCTGACGCTGGACATGATACTGCTTAAATTGAGGAAAGCTATTTGGGGAAAGCTATTTCATATTTTATAATGTTTCAAAGGAAAAGGATCCCTTGAAACATGTCGCAGAGAACATATTTTAAGGGATTGCTTAGCATCTTGATCGTAAGTAATGCAAATAAATAAAATGTATGAGCTACAACATTTATATTCTGCTCCACAGTTCAGTATGGAAATTCCAGAGCAGCGAACAATAAAAAAGCAGTATGTTAAAGCAGAATCAATAAAATCCATGGCTGGCTAAGCTCAGGAAGGCTTCCTGAAAGAAACAAGCTTTCAGGGGGTACCAGAAATAATACAATGTCTGCCTGCCATTCAGAGAAATGGTGCCACTGCATTGGCAGCGAGGACTCTTCCGCTCACACATACCAGAAACAGAAACTTTGCTGTGATTTCCAGCCACAGAATCCACCTGGAATATCCACCTGGCGCTTAGCAAATGACACCAGGTAAGTGTGGCCACGCGCCTCTGACGTCGGATGGCCTGATGTGTTATCCAGCCCTCCATTTAGTTCAGCGCCCCTGTATTATATGATAGGAAATGACCATAGAACTTACCATTAATCTGGAACTCCCATGAGAACACACTGGGCGATGCAGAATTGCTCCTGCCCACTGACTTTTTATATTCACAGGGAAATCAAACATTTGCAATGTATAATATTTCATAGTTTCTCAAATGGGAATACAGGGAGAAGGATTGTGGCAACCTTACAACTGGGCATTAGGTTGACTGAAAAAGGAAACCGAGGTGCATGACTTTGAAGTGAGAAATTGCCTGATTTACAAGAGGCAGTTTGAATCACTGCAAACAAGGAAATGAAGTAACTGGGCAAAGATTTCTCACAATTTGCATTCAGAAATGAACATTTCATATTTATAAGATGTCTGATCAATGTGACAGAAAGAAGAGGTTCCTGGAAGCAAACATGAGTATTTAGGAGCTACCCAATATCAAGGCCTGACTTCTTTGAAGAATCTGACCAAATGTACAGACATTTATTTCTTCAGATCTGCACCGAAATGACCTACTTCAGCTTGAATCCATGCCAAACTGTTTTCTAATGAGAACATACTGGATAGAAATCCCAGTACGAGGATGGCAAGATCCAGGTTCACATGCATATCTAACAGCCACTGAAAATGCCAGTTTGTGCTGGAAAAATGGTCATGTGAATCCAGCCTTACAAAAGAAGCATTTTGGCTACTCAGACTATGCTATGCCTTGTGCTAAAGCTTCATGCAACATTTACGTTAGCAAAAGGCTCAAAAGAATGTTGCTAACTAGAATGTTTTACATTTTCTTTTATCGGTGTGCCTGAACACACAGCAACCCTGAAGAAGAAGAAGACGGGTCTAGAGGACAGAGTGGCTGACCTAATGGCCTTCTCTAAATTATGGTTTGCTGCATGCATGTGGAACTGCAGGCATGGTACCCCTTCACTCTCACACACACACACACACACACACACAGACGTACGTTGGATCTCTGTGTGACCAAAGATCAAGAAAGTGGGAAAACTGTTGAAGCTAATCTTCTCAGGGCAGAAATTCCATTTCCTTTTTAAAGCACACTCCGTGCTTGTCACAGTGGTCCTGTGCTCGTCTCTACCTGTTGATATTTAGGCATAGCACAACTAAAGTAGATCTCGTGTAAGCAGATGCTCTCTAGGGTATCTGTTCCTACTTCTGGTTATCCCTAATCTACAATGTTTGTGCCATCTCATTAAGTGTTTGTCTTACAAATAGAGATAAGCATTGTAAGAGTTATCTACCTGCTTCCGGGAAATTAATGCACAACCAATATAAATGGATTTTCTGTGCTCTTTTGACAGTTAAAAAAACACCAATAAGATAAAAGCTGACTTCCTGTAATTTAATGAAGACCTAATGGCACTCTCAATATTTGCATAGATGACATGTAGACACCACCCTCAAATTATACATATGTGGTCTGCCATTGTTGAAATTTAGCCTAACTGATACGTACAAATCTATCTATTCTATTCTATTTTTCTTTTTTATGGTTATGTGGAATCTCATATTTTAAAAAACTCTTTTTTAAGGCGGAAGTTTTGTTTGTTCTTCAGAGGCAAAATTTTTCTGGCTCCCTTCTTCTGCTGTTCACAGGCAGGCAGAAATTAATGTCTAGAAGAATCTACAACCAATATGTATGACTGCCTGTACCTGTTAGATAATATGCTCTATGCAGGTTATCTGGGAACCTAATAACTTTCTAGCATGGGGAAACTGGTTCTAGCTGATCTAACGACTTATGAACACAGAGGTTGCTAATGGAGAAAGTTAGATAAAATATTGAGAAAAGCATGCTTTCTACAAGCTGTGCTGAAATGTGTCTAAATTATACTGTGGCATGCAAGCTTTTAAACTATGGAGTGGTTGTTGATATTCTAACGATGGGTTACATTTAATTTCAAGGTAGGTTTTTTAAAAACCACCCGCAGAAATTGGATGATGGATATTAGCTGGATGCTTTATTAAAATCCCTCATTTTAAAAATAAATAAATAAATCATAGTCTTGAGCCAGCTTAGAGTTTGGGTCTTTACTATCTGGATCAAAAAGAAAGCAATAGCTTAAGAGCCAAATCACACATCACTTGAAGCCTGGATGCCACTGGAATGCAAATTCACTTGGGCCCCTAACGCTCTGGGGTGCCGTGCATGCATGCGCTCCTGACTGTGGGGCGGATGATTTTAGCCATCAGTCAGCACCCACTTTTAGATGTTTGGGCTGATGAGCTGACAGTGGAGACCTTGCACACTTTGCCGTTTCAGTGCCATCCATGCTAAAACGGTCAGGTGGCTTAGTCACATTTAAGACTGGAGTGGGCTGCACTCTTTACTTTCATGCCACCAGCAGCCCACTCAATTATTCGCCCCCCCCCAAAACAATCTACCTTCAGTATATCTATAATCTAAAACTAATAAAAGTACTTTGAAGCCAACTCTGTGCTAAAGAGGCCCTCAGTTCTGTGAAACATTCAGGTACTGGGTCTGATAGAACGATCTTGGACCAAGAACAAATGCTGTATTCACATACTTCCTGCTTCCCTTTACTCTTCCCTTATTTGATACATTGCAATAGTTAGCTTCTGAGGTTTGTTAAGCCAAAGTTTCCTACCATATCTGAGCCCTGGAAGTCTTCTGCTATGATAGATGCAAAAACAAGGGAAGGAAAGGAAAGAACAGAGGATGTACCTAATTAACCCACAATTAGCCACAGCATGAGTAGGGCAGCTGCTATTCTGAATATCCAACCTTCAATTAGGGCAATCAGTAGTTGGGTTAACTATGGGTTGTTTAACCCTCAATCGGCTCACCATGATTGAGTTCACATGACGTGCTGCAACCCTGATCATCCTACCCGGAGGCTGCGTATTAAAAATAGCAGCTGCACTCATCCTCCATGCACCAGAGCTGATCATGTGTGAATTGACCCATGATAAGCTGCAATGTTGTGCAAACTGACCCACTGCCTAATGGACTGGACAGTCCTTGGCAATCCTTAGGAAAGCGAGTCATAGCGCTTTGAGATTCACGGAAGACAAGTCAGGCTCCAGGAGTTTTAGAGGGAAACATAGGTGACAGCATAGAGGCAGTGACATCCACCCTTACTCTGGATGGCTGGTGAGATGGGGAGGAAATAAATGTAAGACTGTCTTTGTTGTGGATCAGGAGTGATAAGACTCCTTTACCCTTATTTATTTTTGTATGCCAGGATCTGTGCAGGTTATGAAATGGCAGATAGAATTTGCTTATCCCAGTACAATGCATTGCTACATTTTGAGAACTGGGGAGATTACAGTAATCATGGAGAATCCTTTAGCAGAGGTTTGCTCCCAGGGAACAGATTATACTGCTGCCACTTAGAAATATTTAATGTCAAGCTGGGTTCTAGAGTTGACAAGATCAACTGCACTAGCGTCAGAGTTCCAATGGTGCAGTAATTTTGATCTATATGAAGAATCTATTGTAAGGACATGGGAGATCCCTCCCAACACTTTATTGTTGAAAGAGTTCCCAAAGCAATGAATAGAATCACAGGGAACAGATCATGTTGGAGGCAGAAGATACAACGCAGAGGTCAGCCTAAATTCCATACAGCTCTACTGCAAACCTTAAGTAGGAACCACATTAGCAAACGACAGTTAAATCAGTGTTCTCAAAATCTTTTATCACAACTGTTGTATTAAAAGCAAGAAAAGAACCATACCAGTGCGGCTGGAGGAAGGGTCCCTTTCGGACTGGTAACCCCTGCACTGCCTTTGGTGCTGTTTGATTGAGGCTGCAGGAGAGAAACACACATACAAGAGAAAAGCCTTGGAAAGGGAAGCCAAGAGAAAACATTATCCACACAAACAATCAAAATTCAGACTACTCAAACCACATAAGAAGCAGTGTATAAACCCATATGGTAATCATATACAAATTAGATTCTGGTAGAGAAAGATCACCACCACCTTTCAAAAGGCCTTTTTCAGCAAGTATGCAAAACTGCGGCATAAAGCAAAACAGAACAGTTCTTGTGAAATTTCAGCATTCCATAAACTGAGTTGTTTAATAGCTCTGGGTTATGGATTTTGACCGAGGAGAAGTGTGTAAATAGAATTGCATCTACTGTTAATGAGCATGAGTCCTAACTTTCTCTTACTGTTCCCCCATGTGGACTGATAGGAAAAGGCCCTTGAAGGATTCTTACCTTCACTCCATCAGCTTTCTTGTTCAGTAAACTTTTAGCTGCTGCATAGGGAGGGAAAGAAGAGATTTTAGCGGCAACTCCTTCAGTGTCCTGAGACATATTCTGAGCTGCCCGAATAGCCAAACAAGGATCACACAAGCTGCATTGATGCCGTTTCCTCATTAAACTGCTAAAAGGAGAGTTGAGAACAATGCTAAATCCCAAGCCGTATGTGTGTGGGCAAAGCCCCAGCATCTCTCTAAGCCAAAAGCAGAGGTATGGATGGCAAAGTGCTGGAAATCGGCAGTCTCCCAAATGTAGGCAGGTCAATAGCAGGACCGCAGAGGTTTCACTTCACAATACTCCAGTCCTTGTTATTTTTCAAACTCACATTGGCTGGGGCACATCTTGGTTTTCCAAACTATGTACAAGCACAAGAGAAAGCAGCCTCTGCAGGACACAGTGTTCAACTGGACAAATGAATGTTCTGAATAAAGTGGGTCAGTATCCTTTTATGGGCAGACTCAAAACTTTCCCTCAGACCATCAACTTAGCTTGAGGAAGAGAACATGCACGGATTACTTTATTCATTCTCGGCCACAGTATCTCTCTCCATGCTACTGGTCATCTGATTTTTCTCAAAACTAGATACATACAGTTCCAAGGTCACTGAAATCTGTAGAGGTAACTCTGCAATGAGACGCTAGACCCTTGAACAGCCTCATGAAACTCTTTCTCCATCCAGTATGAGAGTTCCAATCTTCCATGACAAGTACTAGGTGTCCTTAAGAATCACCACCAGCAATCCTTTCTCCTTTCGCACTAGGAAATTCCATACATCTTTGAAAGATGCATGGGCATCAACAGGCAGCCTGTCTCCGAACAGATACTTCATCCTCAAGATGAGGCTTAAAAGCTCACTGCCTATTTTCTAAAATTGTCTCTTTGTAGCAAGATTTCCAATCTGTCAGCTCTGTGAAGCCACTCTATTTCACTACACCAGCTTTCCCCAATTTACTGCTCTCCAGAGGTATTAGGCTATTTATTTATTTGCAGCATTTAGAAACATAGAAACAGAGTGAGTCAGAAGGGGCCTCCCGGGCCATCTAGTCTGACCCCTGACTCCAGCCGGCTCCGCTCACATCATCTTATCGGCTAATAGCCATAACAGTGGGGGATGGAGTCTTTTTGGGCACACATTCCATAATTGATGGCCCTTGCATGTGTGCCTAACAAACAGGGCTCTGCAGGCAACAGTACTCCCAATAGGACCTTTCCTGCAGGACTTAACGACTGGCCAAGTTTAGAGCAAGACATACAGTCAGGTGTTAAGCCATTTAAAATTTAATTCAAAAATTAAAACCAACACTTTGAAATGAGCCCGGAAAGCAACTGGCAACCAGTGTTGGTCTCTCAAAACAAGTGTAATGTGTTCCCAATGCCATATACCAGTTAGCAGCCCTTTACCCCAATGAAAGCTGCTGGACACACTTCAAGGATAACCCCATGTAAAGTGTGCTGACAGTAGATAATGGGAATTGTTGTCAGATATTGTCTGGAAGGCACTAGATTAGGGAAAACCACACAACATTATACTCTCATTTTTAAGCTTATGACTATACCTACCTGTACTTTCTCTCATCCTCTTTTCCTCATCTTCCCATTTGTGCTAAACCAATGTGAGCCTTTCTCCCTAACCAGAAACTGACATTACAGAAGCAAGGCAACAGTACAATACAATCTCATTTATCCAAATGACCCATGAGATACTGGCAATTTTGAATAATGGACAATTAGATATTACAGTATCATCTGTGTATGGTTAGGATGGTGTAGGAGACTATACAATTCAGTGCGATATTAGGGATTCCTTGATAATTGCATTACTTCAGCGTGGTTTGTTTAGCTGTTGCTTTTTGGTTGTTATTTGGCTGAGGAGAGACCCAAGAGTGACATGGAAGAGAAGCTGGAGGAGCAGAAATGAAATGGGTGGCAAGGCTGAGAGGGATTTGGAAAGTGCTGATAGCAAGTGTCAGAAGGGTCAGGGCTGAGATGAACTGAAATATGGGTGTCCATCATCTTGATGTGGCTAATGGAATTGTGGGGAACCGAGAAAGCGGTGAGAGGCCTTCAGGAAGGAGAACGACAGCTGAATTATAGGTAATGCTGTGTCTGGAAGGAAAAAGGCAGTGCTTGTAGTGTTATGCCTACAAGCTGCAGCTAGTATGCATTCGAAAAGTTACAGTCTGTTGTCAGATCTAGTATGAAGGCTCTGTGAAGAGACACTGATATAAGTACTACCATCCGCAGGACAAAACTCCATCTATTTCTGGACCTTGTATCTCATAAAACACCTTTGTCCCACATCAAATCCAATCACCACCATAGGTCGGTATTATTAATGGGCGGAACCCAACAAAAAGTTTGCTTACCTTACAGAAATTTACAGAAGAGGAAAGGCGAGAAAGACAGGCAGGTGAGAAGAAGGATTGGAAGAGGGATGGGGAGAAAGAGAGAAGAAAAGGGAAAAAAAAGAAGTGTTGAGACAGAGAGCAGGGCCTCTGGGGCAGAGGCCCCCATCTGACACCAAGGGAAGTGAAGCAGCAGCACCAGCACCACAGAAGCAGCACTACAGAGGACTTTGCTCAGACGCACAGGGAAGGAAATGGTCCATACAAGCACCACACCAATGGAAGGATGGAGCCCATGGGGTTGCTGCAGTCAGGAGAGAGACTCGGTGAGGCAACCTGACTTCGTTTTCCATAATGAGTGACGCAGTGGTCTTGTAATTAAAGTATCTCGTGTTTTCAGTCTCTTTTCAGGTCATTTAACCTTCATCCAGAACGGTACACATTCCACAGGTTTGGTCTTCCCATACAGCCTATGAATTGCTCAATTTATCTTGGTATAGCCAACATCCCATAGACCAGCCTTCCTCAATCCAGTGCCCTCTAGATGCTTCGGACTGCCACTCCCAGCATTTCTGGCTGGGGCTGATGGGAGCTGTAGTCCACTATATCTGGAGAGCATTGAGTTACGGAAGATTGCCAGAGACTATATAGGTCAGAAAGCAATGTGAGATTAGGAATTTTTCAGGGCAACTTTTATAAACCCTGAACAGAATGTGATAACTTCTTGACACCATATGCAAGGACTGGGCCCACTCCCTAGTAATTTTCTAGGATTTCTTTTAGTTTTGCTTATCCGAATATGGCATAGGCCTTTCTGGGAGCATTTGGTTAAATGGTTAAAGTAGTTTAAATGAGGCCCACAAACAGAAATTGATAAATAAATGTTATGAATAGATACTACTTAGAATTTTACTACCGAATCTTATCAATGGTCCCCAAGTGCAAACCAGCCAACCTGTTTAAAACCACCAGCTACCCATTTCCTTATCCCTTTAATCCAAGAGTGGGCAGCTTGCAGCCTTCCAGATGAGTTGTGCCACAATTACTCTCAGCCCCAGCTAACATAGCCAGTGATTATAAGTTATAGTGTGGTAGACCCAGACATGCCCACCGCTGCTTCAACCAAAATCTCCCAACAGACTCTCCATTAACTCTGCTACACCACTAATTGCTTGTGCCAGTTGTGGCAACATAACTGAAATGTCACACCAAGGCAATTTTTGCAACTGTAAGAACACGAATAAATTGTGCAAACTCTCTATGAGAGCATCACTAACAGAACTGGCAATGTATTAGCTATATTGTTAGTTAGTTATGTAACATCACAGGAAGTGGTAGAAGGCACCACTGCGTTGCAATTGCTTAACCAGAATCTCTGTGGGGGAGACGTGTTTCTCAGGATTTGGCAGGTTCTGAAGTTGCAGGCTTCCATACAAACAAGATGGATTAGTTCTGCATATCGTATTAACAAGTAGCTAAGGTGAACTAACAGTGGTTTTCTCTTACCTAATATATCTATGGCTACAGTGGACCTACCTATAGCAATGGCTTCACTATACCAAAACAAACAAACAAACAAACAAATAAATCTGTATTAAAAATACAGCTTGTGGTTTATTACTTCCTAATGATGCTACCCAGAACACCACTTTGTTCTTCAGTCTCTGACCTTTTCTGTCAGTGAAAAGCTATGGGTGGTTTTTCATTGGACATCTCAAAAGGGACCTTGATAACCTGCAAATGTTTGTTCGTTCAAGGATAATCAAAGCTCTAGGATTGCACCTGACAGTGGAAAGTCTGGATGGGATCTTTTAGTTCCCACTGAAGAGAATACATGCAACAGTTCTGATCCTAGAACGGGCTACAGTAATTGCTGAAGCAGCGCCGTGCTGCAGTCTGTTGCGTTGGGAATTGAGCCAGGAGAGTGGCGTTGCTTGACACTAACAACAGCCACCTTGAAGCCATGTGGAAGGGAATCATTGTGCAGTAATCATTGCACAGATGAGGAAAGATACACGAACAGATGTAGGGAACAAGAAAGCTGCGGGTCTTGGGAAATCATTCTCATGGACTGCTGGCTGCATTCCAGATGAGGATTCAGAATCAGAAAGTGAAATATATTTTAGTGAGATAGGGGGAAATGGGAGAGGTCAAGAGTCTGAAATGCAAGAGGAGGCCAAGTGCTTTCCTGAGCCAGGCAGTCCCTGGGAATGGCCAAGAGGTACAGCCAGTTTGGGGGCAGGGGTTTGAGGCTGAGGAATTCTCAGTCACAGGCCAGCCCACTCCTCACCCCAGCTATCAGTCCTGTGATGAGACTTCAGCAAAGATGGGAGGCCCAAATGTGTGTGAAGAGGAGACGTGCTTGCCTTCAGAGAGTCCCTCCCAAGGGGATGGGGCCAAGGCATGTTCATAAAGAGAGTTCTTGGTAGTAAACACCAGATTGGGTCCAACAGACCACTCTGTGAAGGCTGAAAGATCTGTTCTGGGTGATTTGTACTTGGAAGCAATCAAGAAACTTAGCAAGGAAACCAGTCTGTTGCTGGTGATGGTTGGAAGGAGGAACCTCGGTTCTCAACAGGGGCCATTCACTTCTCTGGCATCCTAAAGGCATTTTATCTCCTACAGAAGCAAGCTAGACCTAATAGCTGGCA